CATTTCGTTGAGGATTCCATCAATACCACAAGCCTTTTTTCCTTTCAGGGACTGGATGACTTCTGTTAATTCTTGTTCTGTTACTGGGTAATCTAGAGGGTTTTGGTTGTTTTTTTATCACCGCCTCCAGAGTTTTCCATTTCATGAAAATCTTGTACTGATCATCATTTTTTGTAATATTACTGTATAATTCACTAAAGTGATTAATCCAAGTATTTCCATCTTGGATCGCCAATTCATCCTGTTGGGTTTTGTTTTCGGTGGTTCCATTTCTCCCAGAACTGCTTGGATTCAAGAGATTCCTCAATTTCATAGAGCTGGTTCTTGCTGTGTTGTTCTTTCTGTGTTGTTCTTGCTTTGTTTTTAGGGTGTACTTGTATTGTTTCAGAGTGGCCTCATATTAACAGCGTATGTTGTGGTTATCTGGGTCTCTATGCTTTTCATTTGATAATTTCCTTAAAGTTTTCCTTAGGTTTTTGCATTCAGTGTCAAACCATTTGTTATTGTTCATTTGTTGAGATTTTGGTTTGGAGGCTTTCAAATTAGACAATAGAGCCAAATGATGAAAAATTGAATTGATTTTGTCCACAGCAGAATTTACACCATAATTATTATGGGGAAATGTTTCAGTTAGAAAAAACTGAGTTAAATCATATATGTTTTGATTTTCCAGTGCCTTTTGGTACGCCCCCATGCTGTCAGGGGTCCATCTGTATGAGTATGTCCTGTTAAACAGTTGACAGGCACTAGGGGCTCCAGAGTTAGACTGGGCCCTTCTCAGATAGATTGTGATTTTGCTGTGGTCTGAGAGGGGTGTATGGGGGCTGACTGTGAAAGCTCTGAGAGACATTGGATCTAGATCTGTAATGAAATAATCTACCGTACTACTGCCAAGAGCTGAGCTGTAAGTGTAGCGACCCACAGAGTCCCCTCGTAGCCTGCCGTTGACAATGTACAGACCCAGTGTATGGCAGAGCTGTAAAAGCTGCATACCGCTTGTATTAGTAAGCTTGGCAAAGCCCTTTCTAGTAGGACATTCAGGGAGGGGGAAGCAGGTGCTTCCAGGTAAGTGTTTGTCTCCCTGGGTGTTCATAGGCTGCGTTTCATTAGTCGTTCAACACTAATGAAACGCAGCCATAGTGTCAGCTCCTTCCCCTGTTCGAGCGTTCAAGTCCCCCCAGAGTAATACATTTCCCATGGTTTTATAATGGTTAATTTCCTCCTCAAGAATAGAGAAAATATCTGGGTTGTAGTAGGGGGATTCTGAAGCAGGTATATAGATGGCATACATGTAGACATGTTGCTCAGCACAAATAATATTTTCAACCATATATAAGATTCTTCTTTTTTAATAACTGTGATGGACTGGCTCAGTTCTGATTTACACCAAATATAATCATGCCTCCTGAATCTCTGCCTTGGGTAATTGTGGGATGTTTTGTTGATGGTATAATAATCTCTGGAAACATCTTCTCTGCACCATGTCTCCTGTAAAACTATGATGTCATAGAGTTTTTTAACTCTCTATTAAAATCTGAATTTCTGCTCTTTAAACCAAAAGCTGATGATCTCAGACCTTGAATGTTCCAACATGTTATTGTAAACGATTTCATCTCTAAGTGTGATCTGTTCAAAAATTAGACAAACAGCTTAAAAGAAAAATAATAAAAATAAATAAATAATAATAATAATGATAAACTTGATGTTAAAATATAATAATAACATTTTTAAAAAAGTGTAAAAAGAGGTAAATTAATAAAATATTAAACTTTGAGTGACATTTTAGAGTGTATCATGTGTGAAATACTGTTAAGAATTGTCCTTATATTACTATTCATTTAAAATGATATACAACATGTTAAACTATTAATTATTGTGGTGTCTCTGCTCTTCCACCATGTAGCTACATGAGGTGAGAGCAGAGCAGGTTTAGCATGTGTAATATTTCTATGAGTTCACCAGAGGGGGTGGGGCTGTGGTTCCTCTCACCGCTGCAGCATAGTTCAGCCCAATAGGCTACCCATTCACTGTCTTTCAATGTCAGTCGGTGAGTCGCAGCCACTCGTTCAACGGCCCCATCCAAGCTGGTTTGAGGTCTGGCTAGGAGGACCAGGTGGAGGGACATTTGTGATGGACATGGAATCATAGATAAGTCTGGGGTCCTGTAGCAGACACCTCTCCAGTAGCTGCTGGCACTGTTACAAAGACATCCATTTTTGCAAAATTGCTGCCATATAATCAAATATATTTGTCAATTTCCATTTTTAGGAGCTCCCAATGATGACCAAATAAGTTCTGTTTACAGAAATGCTCTCAAAGAGTCTTGATGAAACATCATTTAGGACTTTTCATTTCATTTAGGAGAAGAAATACTTGATCTGATATTTGATCTGATATGTAAGCTAGCCTACATTATTTTCTCCTTCAAACTTCTACTTAAATTCAAGACATTTAAAGACACATTAGGTGGAGATGTTCTTGTTAAAATGGCCTGAAATCCTTTGTCAGGTGACATGTTATCACCATTTAATGGTGTCCACTCAGTTTCAATTTAACTGTCTTTATTGGGATGACATTTTAAATCAAACATGTTGCCAAAGCAGAGGTTTGAAAATGGTAAGGCTGCTGGGAAGGGGGCTGCTGGTCTTGTTGACTCTCAGCCTGGGATTTGTGTTGGTGTTGTGTTTTTGATCTAGATTCAGTGTCATGTTTGTATGTCTTTATGGTAATAAATCCCATGAATTTGGTTGTTTTAAATGTGTCTTATGTCATACTAAGTCATTAATCAGTTTATTTGTATTATACACATATTCATTAATTAAATGCTTTATTGTTTTTGGTACACTTCTGGTCCTCCGTATATAAGAAATTGTTTTTTTATGTTAATTGTTGTTAATGTTGACGTTATTTATCAAGAAGTTTAACGTTTATTATTATTATTATTATTATTATTATTATATGCACAGGGCTTATGTCAATCATCATCCTTAAGAATGTACCTGTATTACATTCTGTCACAGTGAGATGGCCTGTCTATTTACCCTGAGGGCTTTCAGGTGCACCAGTCTAGTTGTACAATTGTTGTGTCACATACCTTCCTTACAGAATACAGCTGGTTGTTTTAAGAACATTCCTTTATTGAAACTCTCTTGTAGTCCAATGCTTATTGTACGATATTTATCTTATCGTAAACAGTGGAATTCACTATTTGATGGCTCTTCATCTACAGTCTGAATTTAATTTTAATGGTAAAATCCTTGAATTCTTGAACGTTTTTTCAGTTCAATGAAAAAAAAAAACTTCAATCCTTTTTCATTTCAGCTGGACTTTCATCTGGGTTATGTGGTTGGTTAGGGTCAGTGGTGGAGTGTTGCTTACCCCATAGGGCCGCCTAAGGTTGGGGTGAAACAGCAGGTCTGGAGAGTTGAAGAAAACAACCTGGCCTGGGAGAAGAGAACAGGGGCTGGAGAACAGAGAGCAATGTGAAGGGCTGTGGATGAAAGAGTGATTGACATTGGTTTTGTTTCTAAGTTCATTGTGCCATAAAAAGATCAGCACTATTAAATGATCTGGCATGGGTTCAGTCTCTTTTGGTGCAGGTTACAACACATACAGTAGTTGGGCTCAACATACACATCTTCCTGATATCACAGTTATCAAAACAACTGATAAAGTATCCTTTTTCATCAGTAAAGTGACCAGAAAAGTTCTTAAATATTGGGAATGAGAAGGGTTTTTCAAGATTTAAAAGCATTCCATTTTTTTAATACAGAAACAACCCTTTGTTTTTCTCTCAATATAATTTCATAACAACAGTGTATGTGTAGAATAATATTGAGATCTTGAGGTGTTGTTTTCATGTCCTGTTCTTTCTTTTAATGTCAGCAGGTTCAGTATGGAGGACTCCAGGTGTCACAGAGATAGTAATTAAGCATTTCATTCATTAATAATTAAATATACAATACAAATATGCATTACTAAATGTGTCTTCCTGGAAAAAGAACCATAATAGAAATAATCTTTATCTGTCATCCTTGACATTTTCAGTGAGCATGTTCTCCTCTCGCCCCCAGCTTCATACACCCCTGACCACATGCATTCATGGTGTAAGGACTGTATGGTGCAGAAAGAAATTACAAACACTTGACATCATGTACAGCTGATTTAGTACCGCACAATCATTTGTAAATGTTGACAAATCCAAAATCATAACAGGTAGCAGTCTGCGTAGCATGTTTTATCCTGGAAACACATTGCAGTGCAATGTTTAACATTAATTACTAAACTAGATGGCAATGAACAAGGTGAGATACATTAGAATTATTACTATAAGAGCATCAGTCTGATTGGTTATAATCATATAAGCAGTTTCACCAAATACATTTCTTTATTTAGATAAAGTATTTAATAATCACCACCTGTGATCTATATTCACCTTCACCCAGCCCGTTTGCAGGTTGCGCTTGTGAACATACATGGACCAAATCAGAAGGTGTGCATGGAGACGCCCATACAGTCTGTGCGCCACCTTGCACTTGGCATTAAGGGTGCAAAACTTTAAACTGAGGGTGCAATGCATGTTTTTGGCACCCTCATAGAAGCAGGCTTTAACCTCAAATGTCTATAACTACATATAGTAATAGTAATTAAATAAACAAAGAAAATCCAGAAAAAAATCCACTGCGTCACTCCAGCTTGAATGGGCATGGCTCGACTGTCTTGAAACAAAATCTGTTACACTTTCTAAATAAGGGTTAGGTTTTTTTCCCAGATTATTCCCAGAGTGTGTTTACATGCGCTCTAATATCCTGGTTACATTTTGCACATGTAAACGTCATGTGCTGGTTTCATAAACCTGGAATTGCTACTTGGAGTACGCCAGCTGAAACCAGGATACTGTGGCATGCAAACGTCTTATCCAGGTTTCTGAACATACTTTGTTGGTGCACAATAGAGTGGCTCATTTAAAAAAAACCTTCAAAACAGACTCCCACACACAGTAAATATTCAGAATGACAATTTATTTCATTGAGAACTCTGACAGTGGTGAGAACAGAGTGATGGCGTTGGGTGTGTTGAAATGAGTTTTGTAGTTTTCATTCTGTTAAAATGATCCAAACAAATGAACACGCTGTGAAGCCTCATCACTGACGGTTCCAAAGAAAAGGAGGACTTTTCTGATGACTTTAGATCCCAGACACAGCCCTACACAGCTCCGTGCAGGTACAGGGCCAGGAACTTGCTGAATGTTTCAGGCTTGTATCCTGCCAGACCAGCTGGTACCTACCGGGAGACACACAGCAACCATCAGAATCACTAAACTCTACACTGCTGCTCTTTTCTTCAATTGTCTTTTTTGTCCTATCACAGTCATCCATCAGTACTAGCAACGAATCGAGCTGCGATACACACCTCGGTGCATTTCCAGCAATCCAATATATTAAAGATAAGAAAAACTACCAGTGCGATATGATACAATACACCTATTAAGATGCAATTTGATCCAACACAATACAATTCAACGCGATAAGATGCAGAAGAATATGATGCTATGAATGCTAGCAATTTTCTCCTCGTGTCATAAAGGCAGTCGCTTGACCACACTGATGTAAATTAAGGTAACAGTTCTAATTGGATGAGGAGGCAACCGCCTTGTGAAAGAAAAAGGCTGTAAGTCATAATAAGCCTGAGAGGCAGTGAGTGTCAGTAACCAAAAGACAGAATCTGACAATAGCCATACCTTCACTTGTTTCTTCTTGATGAGAGGTCGCACTTTTGCAAAATCGTAGAGCTCCACGTCATCATCCAGCCACACCTGCAGGCAGCAGACAGCAGTGAACAAAGAGAGGCAGGAAGCTTACTCTTACGTCACTGTCAATTCCAATTGATACGGAAAGACTGATTGGCTCGAGCCAGGTGGCAACATATGAATACTGGAAACATGGGAAAACATGTAGCCCAGCTCTGTCCTAAGTTTAAAAACTGCCATAAGCCTTTAAGGTAAGTAATTAACATGTTATATCTTGTTTGTTTAATCTGTATAAAAACTGACAAATCTGCGAGCTCACACGTTATCAGGGGCGTGCACGGACTTTTTGAAGTCTCCCAAGAGGGCACTTTAGCACGCACCCATTATTTCGAACCCATTGTTAGTTCCTACTTAACTTATTTTGTATTTGAACAGTTCTTCATTCTATCTATCGTTTTGTTTTGATATCATATGTGTACTTATTGCTTCCTAATAACCTCAATGCCACATGCACAATTGTATGGACTATGAAAATGAGCACTGAATGAACTCATGTGGTGCATGTGAAACATATGTGCTCAATCAAAAGATGTTTGTTCAAAATGACACACATATAAGAGTCACATATATTCATTTATAGCATTTTGGCGACACCTTCTGGACTTATGGTGCCTTGAGACTTTAAATAAATATAAGGGACTTCAGAGCTCCATTAAAGCACACGCACAGCGCTATTTGTTTGAGCTGTGACAGAAGCTTTATACTATTTACTGCAGGTAGTTTGTACTATTTTGTGCTGGTCTACCCATGAATAAACACTAGTCCTGTCACTGCTGCATATTCTGGAGAATATCACATTGAAGCACCTGGTTCTTGATGCCGTCGTCTCCTGACAGATCTGTGGTGTTGAGCTGGAAAACCAGAAACTGGAAAATTCGACCGTTTGTCCCGACTGCCTGTACGGTTATAGGACGGTCTAACACACGCTGGGGCTGGGTCTGAGAGACAGAGAGAAGGATAATTACGGTGATACAGTGTGTTCACACTTGCTGTGCATAAGGACATATATTGTATATATATTCTTACCCCATAAAGTTTGTGTGCACGGGCCAGAGCGTTTGCAAAGCTGAACATGACCATCTTGGCTCTGAACTGTTCTGGGCGGAGCTTACAGCGAGCATCAGCATCCTCCAAGAAGTAAAGTGTGTGGGCATGAGGGTAAGGGTAGTCGCCCCTGAAACCTGATTGGATAACAGAGACGTCACTAAATAACTGACTGGTCTGAAGAGCTTCAACGATGAATTGATTAGTTGTCAACTATTTTGATTGATCATGGATAAATTGACATTTTTGTAAGAAGAAAATGTCAAAATTCTCTGATTTCAGCTTCTCACATCTCAGTATATTCTGCTTTCTTTAGTCCTCTATGAGAGTAAACTTTAGGTTGGGAAACAGAGATCAATATTCTTCACCATTTAGTGACATTTTATGGACCAAACAGCTAATGGATCAATCAAGAAAATGATCAACAGATTAATTGATAATGAAAATAATGGTTAGTTGCAGCCCTACTGAACTCCAGACAAAGTGGCACTCAGCCTCAGGGAAACTACTGTTTCAGGACTAGGATTTGTGAGACATGACAGAGGACTCACCTGAGCAGTTCACCTTCTCTTTGTATACGTGTACTTTCTGCAGGTCGATGTTGGGGGAGACAGGATAGAAGGTTTCCAGGACGTGATCGGCCGTGTCTGCCACTTCCTGTTTTCCAGACACCTCTGGAAGAGGGTCCATGCAGTTATGCAGCAAACCGTTCTGACCCCTAACCTGGAACAGGTCCTCACCTGATAAACAAATATGGAGTGGAAATGGAAGTCCATCAGAATGCATTCTGGACTTTTAGATTTATTTCTATTATTATTATTATTATTATTATTATTATTATTATTATTATTATTATTATTATTATTTCAGGCAGCATTCACACATTTTCAAGACTTATGTCTGGCTATGCTTGTGGCGTGGCTCTGTCTTTGAGTCAGTCCACCACTTTGTCCCAGACTCAAATTTCCCAACAACTACTGGATGGATTGCACTGAATTTTTGTACATTCATGTTCCTAGGAGAATGAGTCCCAGCAACTTTGGTCATCCGCTGACATTTCCTAGCAGTGGTCAAAAGCTCTACAGGGTATCCAACATTACCACCAGGTCATCCGAGAGGGTGCATTACCTCTTCTCCATGTAGCTGCCAATGAGTATTTCTCAGCAAAGATCCTCCTACCGATGGCTGGGTGGCTGGGCTGTAGAGTGGCACACAGATGGAGCAGGTTGAAGAGCAAAGTGTTGCTAGGGAGGGAGCACACGCACATACACAAACAGGGAGAGAGAGGACAGTTGTTTATTTTAACAAACAAGGACTGTGCTGCCATCAGCTGCCGATTCTCAACTGAAGTACACATCCCACATTACACTCAATCACTTTAAACTTATTTGTCGGGGACCTTTCAATGGACAACCAATGAGATGACGCTTGTTAAGGGCAAAAAGAAGAAAAAAACTTTCATCCACCCTAATCCCGTCTTTATGACTGGGTTTGTACCAGTCTTTTCCTCAGACACTGGCTTCTGTTCTATAAAAATAAAACATAATTCACACACAGTCCTTGCTAGGCTAGTTTCTAGGGTAGAGCAAGTAAGTTATATTATATATATTAACCCATCAGTTTTAACCTCCAGTTAGCGGCACCCATGTATGGTTTAAAGAGTAACCAAACCCCTGGTAAAAACCTATGTATAAGGGTATTTACTAGTGTTGTTGATGGTCTAAATCTGGACCTGTTAGTGCAAAATATTTGAATTCCACATATTTTGCTATAAAAATACATAGTGACCTCTACCCTCTACTTGGTGGAACTCTGCTATTGCAATAGAATTTTGCTACTTGCTGATCTGGAGGCAGGTGACGTCTGTGATGGCAGCTTTTTTTCACCAATCTACCCCTGCTTCTATAAAACCAACATCTCCACTCTGCAGACTGGGGCCTGCTACATAGCTGTAGCCTGTCTGACAGCAGCTGCTCATGGCTGGTTAGCTCTGTTAGCTTAAGCATCACACACATCTGGGTTTAGCTCCGCCCAGTTTGAGTATGGCTACGAATACTGATAATCATCCCTACTGGTTGCTTTGTTCTTCAAATTTCCTGATGCTGTCTTGCTTCTTGGTGCTTGTTGGCGTTATAAACCTTGGTAATACTCTTCTGTTACTGTACTGACGTTTTTTATTCTGTAACAAAATGAGCTTTAACAATTCATTCATCCGTCGACGATACACACTAAACATACATTGCTGTGTCACACTACCCGTATTTCTGTTTGCCTGGCCGGTCCTCTGTTGTGTCCCAAAAGCGGGCGTGTTTGATGGCGTTCTGTACTTGTTCATCCTGATCTGGTATCTGATTGGTAGGTCTCTCTGCCAATGAGAGCAGCTGAGGCGGCAGACCAGAGATCAGCTTGGTTTTGGTCAACCACACAGCTTGACGCACGCCTGAAAGAGAGAGAGAGAGAGAGAGAGAGAGAGACACATGAAAATGTAACATGAGGTTCTAAAAAATGACTGACACTTGCAGCATGGATCTACACTGCAGTCGGCACTTTGTGTGCTAAATCAGGGGAGAGAATTAACAAACATACACATTAACAGTTTATAGTACTGAATATCAATGATCAAACATACATCCAGGCTCATCTGCCAAGGTCAGCGCAGGATGAGCCTTTAGGCTGATTCTATGACATCTGAAAATGACAGAAATATCTCAGCAGGTGAACATTACGGTGGTAAACTGTATCCTGTCATATGCCTTCACAAATCTTTGGCTTAGAAATACTGACATTCTGTGTGGACATGCATCTCTGAGACAGCGAGCATCTGTCAAAGCCATTATATGCTTTATATTTATATTAGTATTCAACCTCAAGCAGATAAAACACACACACACACACACACACACACACACACATATAGGAATGAAGTGACATTCAACATTGTTGACTTCATCCATTTCTGTGAAACTGTGATATAATATTGCCATTGCACTTACATATTATAAGCATTTTGATTTGATTAAACTGCCATTTCCATAGTACTCTATTCTGTCTTGTCATTGTGAATGTGGGTAAACCGGCGGGTTGGGCTCTGTTTTCACATACAAGGTTTCATGTTGTGAAATTCTTCACTTTAATATTGGTCATATGAATCTGTGTAGTGCTGTAATATAGACATTTTCTAAAAGATGATAAAACATACATGCATTGACTTTACAAGATATTTTATTCACTTTTTATTTTATTTTTGTCTTTGTTATTAACTTTAGTCCCCCTGGCTTATTTGTGATAATAGATTCAAGCTGCTTTGAACTTGCTGTATACTTGTTTCAATAAGGTTTTCTATATCTGTCTGTCTGTCTGTCTGTCTATCTATCTAAACATGTTCTGGCAATATGTGGTCGTTAGAAGCAGTTATATTTCATTCAACCACTCTATTTATTTCTTAAATGTAACACATGAAATGATGAACCTCATTTCAAATTCTGTCTGTTTACTTAATTATTGATCATTAATGAAGGTTCACCCCTGTGAAAACATGACTAACTACCTTTGAAGAGTTCAGCATTTAAACGATTTAATATGTCAGTGTATATCCCTAGACCTTTGACTCTTGGTGGGGAAACGATAGTGCCACTGATGTACTGCAGCTGCTGGCAATGGGCTGTTACACGGTTGAGACAGTTTACCTTCCAGTGCGTTGGTCCTCTGGTTGTACACATAGCACGGCTTCTCCTTGTACAGTGGCATCTCCTGGGTCGGAGGAGATCTGTAATGTCTGGGGTCTTTGTAGTCCCTCTCCCAGTGTGGGTTAGCGGGCTTCGCCAGCCCCGGCGCATAGTGCATAATTTCCCCGTAGGTGACCATCTCCAGGCCGGGGATCGCCACTGTCTCCCTGGGTTTGCGCGGAGGGAGAACCTTGCCTGTCAGACTGCGGCTGACACCGAAGTGTCTCCGGGCCTGGAGGCAGCCGGCAGCTCCATGTGTGGACAACCGACTCAAATCCTTCAAGAAAACGGTGTGAGGAAACAGCGGAGCCGCCATTTTTAAACACTGAGCCGTCTCTGGAAACATATTAGCTCCTGGGTCTTCTTCTTATTCGGGTTTTAAGATTAAAGCTGTTATTTTGACCTAAGTCATTGCCTGTCAGTGAATGCCTCTGTAGGGCACCGCCATGTTAGATTCTCTCACTTCTTCGGTGACTTTTTTTTTTTCTTCTTCTTCTTTCTTTGAGTCTTAATGGCGGTTGGCAAACCAGCTTAGCTGCATTACCGCCCCCCCCTGGACTGGAGTGTGTAGTAGTAGATGGGCAGGGCACTGGAAACAAGTAAACACTCTTTATTTTTCCTGTTAGTCCTAAATAATACTTTTATTATTCATTATTATTATTATATATATTTTCATAATATCTGCTGCATTTTATTATATATTATTTGTACGTATTTGTTTTTGCTTTAATCTATTTGACAGTTTCTGGCTCATTCCCTTTAGAAATGAGAACTGTCCCTTACAGGCACATTTTAAATATGTCCAGACAAATACTGCCTTAAATAAGCCTTAACAATAACTGCCATGTGTCATTTGCGTGCAATTTTAGAATACTCCTCCTCAGGTCCCTTCAATGTATACAGTATTGTCCTACATACCTGTCATTGTTATATATTTTTTAATATTATTTTGTTTACGCCTGACTTCGAGTAAGCCCTGTTTGATGCTCTGCATCTGAATTTTCTCAGCTGTAATACAGACATAAGAAACATTTGTTATTATAGGTACTCAATCAACCAATATAATGAATAACTGAGCTTGAATGAAGATAGACCTTTCCAGTGTGGATTTTGCATCAATATGAATATACAAAGGTCCCCAGATGGCTGCGGTATATTTAAGTGAAATATTCTTTAACATGTTCATTTAACATAATTCAGTATCACAAACTACTTACTGTGAAGACACTGCTTGACACCACTCAGCTGTGATGCACTCATGATGCATGATGTGCTGCAGACAGTGCTGACTAACAGTATTGTTAACAGTGGAGTTGTAGCGCGCTCTGCTGAACAAACTACATAATGACACATTTCTAAAATACCCCACTCATCATTTTCTGCATTATGTGTTCTGTAAAAACAGTTTTAAAGTGGGTGCATATTGGAAAACATATACACCAATACCAATATATCTGGGATAGAACTATATGTCAGGCCCGTATCAGCCAACCAATAAATCAGTCGGGCTTTAGCAATTATATACTATTATACAACAAGAACCATACGAATCATTTAATTTTAATTGTATTTCTCAACAAGTCAGTTTCAGTTTTTGTGGTCAACATTGCTGTGTCACTACTACCAAGTTACAGATTATATTTATACCAAAAAGAAATATGTCAAAAGACCATTTACATGGAATTACATACATCAGGTGTGCTCTGATAAAGGTCAGATAGACTGAAAGCCTGCTAAATAAATTGATATATTGCAACAATGAACAATAACATTTCTCCAGAGAACCAAGAAAACCAACACTATTATTAGCCTCTGGTACAGATGAATAATGGAGCTGCTTCATTGACATTAAATGTTTAATGCAAGGACTAAAGAATGCAGAAATTAAAAGCGAAGTGGAGAGTGATATCTGGATCCTTCTTTTCTCATCCTCTCTTGTGTTTTGCAGCCAGGGTGGCCAAAAAAATGATGAGGATGGCAGTTTTTCCGAGCAGAATCCAGTACCATATCTGACCCTGCACACCTACATGAACACAGACGGACGTGAGATGGGCTTTTAGTTACATACAATCTCTCGGAAGCAAAGCTGCAGGGACATAAACAGAGATGAAACGAGGCAGAGAGAAAAGAAAGACAAGGTAAAGATGATTTTGACAGACATGAAATTAAAATGTAATTATATATAACATGTTTATTAATAAGGGGTTTTATTTTATGTATTATTGTACTCTAAAGTGAAATTAGAAGCCACATGAGTTGGAAATCATTGGTTAATTTTCAAAACACAATTCCCACCCAGTAACAGTACAGTGTCACTCAACTGTGGATGGTGTCCCAACACAGTTGGTCAAAGTGTCATCAAAAGTGTAGTTTTTTAAATGATGTACATTTCCTGGTTTGGTTTAGAGGACCAGTGTGCAGGATTTGGTGGCATTTAGCGGTGGAGTTTAAATGGATGCACTGGTATTTGTCCATGCTTGAGATGTGAAGTATAATATTAAATTTACTGTAAATATAATATTTTTTCATAGCTTACAGTTCAGAGAAGTACCCCTTCTGAGAAGTTGCAACATGTCTGTGAGCTCTCACCTGCTGCACTGCTGTGCAGTTGGGTGCTGCCACACTGTGGCGTGCTGGTTGTGATCAGGGTAGAGGTTGTCAGGTTCTCTGGGGAGGGGACGGTTGATCATTAATAAATAAATAATATAAAATAGTCTGAAAGTATAAGTCTAAGTAAAATGTCACTCTATCAAGTCAAATTTGACATGAGACATTTCAAAAGGACACATGCTGTTCCTGTTCACCAGCACCTTACCTGCTATCTGTATCCAGACTGCGGGGCTGATGGTATCAGGCGGCTGGGTCATGCAGGAGTAATAACCAGTGTCTGTCTTTGTAGCAGAGCTGATACTCAGTACCACGGTCACATTGGGGTGGGTGGAGGTCAAATTGACAAGGCACAGTTTGTCCTAGGAGATGAAATGTGATGATACACTTTGGCACCAGCGTTGGCTTTGACTTTCTTAACAGTGAGTAACACCAGGCTGAAAAGCAGTGATTCAGTGCCCTCTGGTTAAGAGGTCTAAAGAATGCATGGTTGTACCTATAACCATACCTAATGATGTCACAGTGCGCTGACACATCCAGGAGTACACCTCTACATCAATGCAAGCGAAATATACAACCACTTTTATCTCAGCAAAAACAGGCTGCTGTTGAGTTGCTCTTTTAGAGTTGGTTGGTGCATTGTCACAAGCTCACCCAAATCACAACGCCACACAAAACCTGAACATTATAATCTTTCACAAATGCATTATTTTTTGAAGAAACATTACATTACATTACAATATATTGAACAGGTGTTCATGATATTGTGGTGAGCAGGGACTGTATCAGACAAGGTAAATTCACATACACTGAAATGCAGTCAATTATATTAACAAAAAAACTTTGTTGAAATGGATTACATCGAAATTTTGAAGTAACACAAATTCAATTGATAGGTAAAAACATTCTTGATTAAGTAGAATTTTTTTTTATGAAGGAGACTAAAGCTACATGATCAAGAATGTTTTTTGTGTTTTACTTCAAATTTTTTATGTAATCAGTTTCAACATTTTTTGTTGGTTTTACAGTTTAGAATTCACATTTAAAGGTCCAGTGCATAAGAATTTGTGACATCTAGTGGTGTAGTTGCTATTCCCTTATTTCATCCTCCCTTTCCAACCGCAAAGGTGAAACTACAGTGGCTACAAAACGTGCAAAAAATTCCAAGGGTCCTATCTAGAGCCGCTGTACGGTTTGTCCATTCTTCTGGGTTCAACAACCCATTCCCTCTGTAGATAAAAACAGCTCATTCTAAGGTAACGAAAACACAACGACTATTACACACAAAGGAAAAAATACCTATGAATATTACCTTACATTTCTGCCAATAGATCCTCATAAATGTTACACACTGGGCCTTTCATTTTGAATTGAACAGACAGAAAAAAGGAACTAACATTTTGTTAAATTGTTGATTTCCTGACCTGGTCAGTGCAACCACAACACCTCAATGCACAAGGAAATACCATGCCAAAATTATCATCATCATCCTTAACAAAAAGAGAACCGCTTTACTTGTTAAAGAGTACACTGTTACATTTCTGTTAACATATGAAAGAGGTTAACTCCTGACATAATAAACTCTTAATGTTAGAAAACCTTTGAAGACATTTTAATTACCTCCTGTTCGTAGTTCTTCCACAGCTGGGCGACATGTTGGGTTCCTAAACATGTGAACTCACAGCTCAGGTTAAGGTCCTCTCCAGCTGGAAGCATCCTATTCTCTGTAGAAATACTCACAATAGTTCCACTGCAACCACCTGCAGAAGATGTAGTCAGACGGCAGACGTAACAAGATAAAGTGATAAATATGATCCACACAACAATAGAAATATTAACCATTAGCTGTCCGTTCCATTAGCTGTCCTGTACATTCTAAGCAACTGGTTCCCAATCTGAGGGTATTGACCGCCACTAGTGGCAGCTTCACAAGGTCCTGCTGGGCCTTCTTGATTTATAGGGTTATAAGAACATTTTTAATTTAAAAATATACAGTAGGCCTATATCTCAGTATTTCATTGATTTTTAAAGTGAAAGATTATTTAAAGATTATTTAAGAGATAAACTTTAAAAACATCTCACAGGATAAGAGCACAGTGAAGACCTGAACATGAGCTATAATCACTGAGCCTCCATTAGAAAAGCACATAGTTAAAACAACCAAAGAAAACTCATCTCTGATGTAATATTCACAATATATCAATATAATATGAAATATCCATCCATCCATATGTCACTGTCATCAGTTTACTCAATAATAAAAAAAATAAGGGCTCCCTTAAGGAAAAAGGTCAGGAAGCAGTGGTCTGAGACAGCTAACACTGGTCAGCTATAAAAGGTGGACAACGCTCAATGCTTCGTAAGCGCATCTCCTGCGAAAACTTCCATTAAAATGTTCAATTATTGAGTTCATGTAGAAACATAAATACACATATAGCTCAAACAATGAATGCATTAGTAGAATACACCTGTTCAAAATATATTTTGAGCACAATACACATTTAATTATGAATATGCAAACAGATCTGAAATATAATCAGTCCACTCAAAATGAGGACATTTAATTTAGTGAGTATTTGTATATTAGTTAGTCTGTTAGTAGATTAAAGGTACCCTTGTATTCTGTGAGTTCTCCCAAACACACCCACTATGTTTACAAATCTGCTTGTAACATAACTATTTATTAATAACTGTGTTGTCTTCTTTTTTATATATATACATTGGATGTTTGTATGGTTTTACAGTTATTATGTAAATTTCATAAATAAAATACACAATAATTAGTAATACTACTACTACTACTAATAGTAATGTTTTTTTTTCTTAAAGCCTCACCTGCAGTTTGAGTCCAGCACATCAAACTCACCACCAGAAACAACATGTTTGATTCTTTCCTCATCCTGCCCGTCACTATCAGACTGAGGCCGTCTCTGGTTTCAGTGTCAGGTATATTTCACATTGACGTACATACACGCACTGACAGACAGCCTGACCGTCCCAGACAGGATGTACGTCTCTGCATTTCTGAGCCGACGAAGGCCGTGATAACCATAGCAGAAAAGGTTACAACTGATAACACTGACCACGGCTGTTATCGCCCTGCGTGTATGGACGCTGAAGGTAAAACATGCTGCAGTGTTGAAAAGTAGGTTAGAAAGAACGATCAGTGCCGATGTCAGTACAATGGCAGGAAGTTGTTTTTGTTGTTACCCATCATGCAATCAAAAAGACAAATGACACTTTGTAACAGGACTGGGCCTAAAAAGGTAATAATGCATTTTATATAGCAATATTTTATACTCACTTTGTTGTACTTCATGGTGTTTTTAATGTGCATGGTAAATCTTGTGAGAAATCAATTTGATAGTTCATGGTTCACTCACATAGTTCACCAAGAGAAAGATGGCAAGGGCTTAAAGCACCATTTGGGACACAGAAAACAACAGTCAAATGCAGAAGGGCAGAACAAGCATGGTTTCACTCCGAACATGGAATAACAGCAGAGGTACTGAGCAGGGGAGGTTTCTTTGGACTGGGGTGGCACAGGTGGGGCACTGACTTATGTGTCTCAGCTTTCCAGTCAATCCCAGTTTATGCAATTCCAACACTGTTTATGGATCCCAGTGGGCAGAAATAACACATTTACACCACATGCCAGAAACTGCATAGGATTAGCATAAAGTGGGCCTGTCTGCAAAGGAGGGAATCCTTTTTCATGCTGATATCTTGAGGTCAGAGGTCAAGGGATCCCTTTGAAAATGGCCATGCCAAGTTTGAATAACTTTGGAACGTTAGTTTGTCCAATTCCTGACATGCTAGCAAGACATGGTTGGTAGCAATGGATGCGTTAGCTCATCTAGGTTAATATACCAGTATCTTCACTCTACATTCCCAGAAAGACAGTGCGGAGTGGAAGAAGTAAGAATAATGGGGTGGTACTGGTCTCCCCTGAAATCTGATTGGCCACCCCAAGCCCCCTCTCTGGACACTCCCCTACCTGAGGTAGAACAAGGTTTATATCAGTTTAAATGCTAAATGGACCTGTACTTGTATAGCACCTTTCTAATCTTCTGACCACTCAAAGCCCTTTTACTCTACATGGCACATTCACCCTTTCACACACATTCACTCAGCGATGGCAAAGTCCATCAAACAGAAACTAACTCATTCATACACATTCACACACCGATGCACAGCATCAGGAGCAATTTGGGGTTCAGTATCTTGCTCAAGGATACTTGGACATGTGGCAGGAGGAGCCGGGGATTGATCCAACAACCTTCCGATTAGGGGTCGACCTGCTCTGACTCTGAGCCCCTTGATTAGGCTGATGTTTGATCCTCCCCAAAACTGATAAAATCAGATTTGACTGAAATGATCAGAACGTCGACAAACTGGGACTGGATGTTCACAGTCAGTTATTATCGTATACTATCAATCCTTTATATGTACCAAAGACTGTTATCTTGTCATAAATGTAGGTTATTTCATTATTCACTCCATCCTCTGATGTCACCAGCCCCTAACAGGTAACTAGTGCAGCCAGCTCCTGAATGGGTGTGTTGAATGTATGCTGAGGACACAAACCAGAAAACTATATTTAATCAGGTTTAGGAGGGTTTTAAAAATGTATTTAGATGAAATTATTTACTACCTGTTAAAAAATGTAGTCAGTAACCAAATCAAAGTATCACAATATTAAAGTAACATAACTTGATTACTTTCCATTAGTTTTTGATTACCACAACACCACACATGCAAATAAAGACACCAGCAAATAAATATCAATAAGATGATTTTTAATGGTGTATTATATAAGGAGCCAATCACATCTCTTTGCTTTATTGTATGCAGTAACTGTCTGTGAACATCCAGAGATACATGAGATAAGGCAGACACCGTCCCTTTCTAAGAACCCTAAACTTTTTTCAGTTTGGGGGAGGATCTAAACATCAGCCAGATAAAGAGATTTTGCAGTAAAATGTTTTTACACAGGATTTCAACAAGTAGACATATCAAAGCCATGAGAAGACATGGTTGTGCTTTGTTCTACCTCAGCGAGCGGTATCTCAGAAATGAAAGCCTTTTTGGAGGGATTTGTTCCTCTACTCTATAGGTTACTCTCTAAATGTTTTGACACAATGAAACCCCTTTGTAAACATCCTTGGAGGTGTTACAAAAAAGATATTTAAGATTTAGATTAGTTTTCCCTTCTGCCGTCGCATCCCTGAACAAACTGCCTCGCTGACTGCCGTGAGCCGGGAAGAATGAATGTAGACATGAAGATTTTATGTAATGTCTATATTTGTATGTACTGGCAGTGACAACAAATCTCCCTCTGGGAATCTAAATCATGTGATTTACTTGAAGAAGACCAAACTGAAGGCAAAAACCCCTAAAACAAGCAAGCACTGAAGGCTGAAGCAGAGTTGTATGTTACAAGGGCGGATCTAGAAGGGTACCATGGGGTGGCCACTGTCACCGGTAAAAGATGCCTGGCAAACCCAGCTGTCAAGCCTGTTTGGTGTCAAATTGAACACAGTAACATGTTAAAAAATGGAATTGAATTTAATGATCTGTTGTGGCCACATTATAGACTAAGGCTTAAGTTCAATATAAAAAGAGATGAATGTCTGAAGATTTGAAAATAAAACAATTTATTGATTTCTAATGCCACTGAGTTCAAACATGTTCACTTGGGGGCTTTTTAAAGAAAATATTGATATATGTGATTGTTTGATTGAATCAGCAGATGTTTCTGTCAGCCCTTAAAGTCGCCATGCCAACATCTGCACACGACATGAATATGTTAATTATGTTAATTCATTTAAATTCATCGAAAGGGAAAAAACAACTTCTTTTTTAAAATCAAAGTGTGCGTGAGCCTCTCTCACGTACACTCACACAGACACACATTCGCGCGCACACAGAGTTTCTGTCCATATTCTTCAAAGCAGGTTACGCTCGCCGCTTCCGTTTACGGCGCCGTACTTATCTCCATTTACGCAAATTGCGTTACGGTAACTGGCGAGGCTTTTCAGCTGGTTAGCCAAACATCCACAGAAAAAGAGATGAGCAGGAAAACGAGACGAAGAAAATGAGAACAATTTATTCCAAGGTGGAAAAATAGCGGGAGGAAAATAATCTGTTTAGGTTCGTAAGAACCTTTTTTAAACTTTGCACATATTTGTTTGTTACATTAGCTAGCTATGTTTATGAATGACTGTATGTATGGGCAGAAATTCTGCGTTAGCCAACACTGGCTAGTTAGCTGACTGGCTAACATGTTAGCCCAACGTTAGCTTCTATCAGGCTACGTCTTGCTACGACCAAAGAGGCTAGTACGCGCTAGCTGGGTAGCTAGTTGTTGATAGCTACCTTGTTCGCTGCTGTACGTTGTTGTTGTTGATGTATTATCTGACATTAATTCGCTTCATTTGTAACTACATTCTCTCCACTTAGCGTTTCAATGAAGCTAACGTTGTCAAGCTACACTGAGGCCAAACACTCGCACTCTCAACTACTGTGGCCTCAACCTAACTTCCTGCGTTACCTAGGTCTGTTGGTAGTTTAACGTGCAATAACATCATATTATTAGATTTTTCACAATAAGCTACCAGCTGACGTCGGAGTCAGATAGCGTCAGTATAGTTATCAGATTGAACAGTCGCTGCTCCCCGGATATTGAATCTGCTGCAGTCGTATCCGCTAACGGTAGCTCCATTAACAAATTCGAGCTCCTCTGGTAGTATCATTACTTCAACCGCTTTCGGGTTCTAAATTCGAAATAGTGACAGCTTCGCGACGATCTTCATGAAAGCTGTTTGTTTACAGCCTCTCGTGTTGCCTTTGAAGTATTCACCAGTACCAAAAGTCATGTTGAGAGATGAGTAAATGGTGCTGCAGCTGGGTTAATCATTGGAGTGTGGGTGGTGAGACAAGGCCATGTTGTTACAGCTATATACTGTATTCCCTCTAAAGATCTCACCAAGAGCTGCTGAGAAGAGCTTAAAATGAACGATTATTAGAATAAGAAGAATAAGAATGGCCAAAAGTACTTCATGCACTAATTTCCTAGTTTTAGTGTAAGGTGCCATTGGTGCACAAGTGGCAACCCTTCAATAGGAATGTACATTTAAAATGTATACCACACATAACACTGTCAGCAACAATTAATACAGGACACAGTGGACTGTAAAAGTAGTAATTTAGTACTTAGAGAGTATAACATCACCATTAGCCACCAGTAGAGTAATGATAGAGTACATTTGAATGGTATATTTATTGAACAGCCGTTGTACAGTTCAGAGGGCTTTGAACTGTTTTTAGTAAATGTATCAGGATAGTACAGAGGAAGTTTTCATTTGTAAATTTTGATTTAACACGTTTCTTGATTTGAACTTTTCATAAATACAGAAACTTCTAAGCACATAATATCATAACAGGCTAATTTATTTCCCCCTCTTAATCTGTGTATTTATTGATGTATTGCATTTTACAGTCAGTAGTACTTATGTATGAAACTCACTTTTTTTATCTGCTAAAACACTTTTTATAGAGGAAGGTGCAAGGTTCCTGGCGGATTGTTAATATTATATAAGTAGTGTCTAAATGGGCATATCTAAGAAGCTGTTTGGTTTTGTTGAGAAACTGTTGAATCCCAGTTGCTTAGTAATTGAGGTCAGGGTTGTAGCCTGTGGCATGCGGTGTGGTGGACACTGTTGGGTGTGAGGGTGCATCCAGGTTAGTGGGTGTAGTGAACTCCTAACCTAAACTGCTCAGCTTGATGTAGTCAAACCAGAGGGGACCAAAACAGAAAACATTGCAGACAATGACTCAGTATTGAATATCAAGATCGGTGTCGGGATTTCAGTGCTTAACAAATACTACTTTGAATATCTATATTATTTTACATATTTTAAAAATAAAAGTGGCCAGTATGGTTTTTAGTTAAGTTAGGGTATCGGATATCCTTAAAAGTATTAAAAAGCCTTACATTTGATTATGGATATAAATATCAGGCACAAGCAAAATAAAATGAAAATTGATTAATTAGCTGTGGCCAAAGATAGTGTGTGGGAGTGATGTTGTATGTATCATGTATGGCCTATACAGCAGCATTGATTTTTGCTGTGAGTTGCTCAATCAGATAGAGAACAGTGTTTGAGCTGCTACAGCAGACGTAATTAAAGGCATAGGTCTGACTTCAGTCAGGGTAAAATGCTGTTTAATTTTTGTCACGGAATGTTAGTTTAGCAAGTCTTGCAACCTTGTTTGTTAAGTTTCAAGCAACCTAATTACCTCATTTGATAAACTCAGCTGAGCACAGTGCCCACATAAACAGCAAATCAAGTTCTCAGGCAAAGAGTTGATGCAGCTGCACTGTAGTTGAAGTTGTTGTCGCACATAGCTCCGAAGTCATCTGAATCCCACTGTGTTCATAGATTGGCATCGGCATCAGCCCTTTTTTTACATGCATTCAGCAACTGTTATAGGCTTTAAATATTATGTGTGGGGTGCCTCCAGTTACAGTGGTTGGATAGAATCAGAACGTCAATATCTGACTCGATTGTAATAGCTCCGTGTAGTTCTTGTGGTATATTATATTATATCATTTATGTCATGATTTGAAGTGACCTTTCAGAGATTAAAGTCAATAAGTTGTGTTGTCTAGAGTAGAGATGCTTTATCTATGTACTCTTTGCAGAAAAATAAAATCCCACATATAGGAACAGGATCATTTTGCTGATGTTCACAGTTTACATACTACGCTTCCTCACAAGGTTTCAGGGGTTCATGTTATTCCTGATAATGACATCAGAGGAGATGCTTCAACATACTCGGCTTTGTCCACTATCTTGATATTTCCACCTCCTCGTCCTCCTCCTCCTCCTCCTCAATGTTATCTCCTTGTCCTCTATGTCATTATCGTGAGTAAATAAGTCATAAACTTCTGGCGCTGTAGACTATTATTCTGAAGTTTACTGACAACAATGCCTTGAATAACCTGAACATATCCACATTAATGTGGCGCCTTGCTTACAGTAAGTAGTCCTGTATCGTGATACGTATCCTATCGCTAGACTCTTGCCAAAACACAGCCCTATTTGTTACACCTCTACCTCCTTAATCGGTGTTGTCTTATCCCACAAAAAGAAAATTCAGATTCCCGATGATGGTGTGTTTTGTGAAAATGGAGGAGCGGTGACTGTTTATGTGTTTTAAAACTCAGCTAATAATAATAATAATAATTTTATTTGTATAGCACTTTTAAAAACATGGTTTACAAAGTGCTTTGACAGAACACAGCAAGAATACAATTTACAATTACAAAGGACGATAAAATAAATTGCATGAAATAGTTGAAATAACAGAGGTAATGATACAAATGAATAAAGTATGTGAAATAATAGAGATGGAATGAAATAAAGTAGGCAAAATAATAGAAATGGAATAAATAAAATAAGTAGAAGAACTCAAAGACGGTTGGAGTAAAAATAAACATAAAAGGACCACATCACATAAAGGCAAGTCTATAAAAATGGGTTTTGAGAGGTGATTTAAAAGAATTTACCGATCCTGCAAGCCTTATCTCTTCTGCTATGGGGCGGTAATTTGCCAATAAAATTTTGGACCAACCTCCCTAAACTAACATATAGTTATTAATTTCATGCCTATAAATTGTCTTGCAGCTAAGTATATAAGTTAAAGCTGCTTTACTCTCTACCATGTGTCGCAGTCATCCCCTCTGAAGTTAACTGTTCAAACAGGACACAACCAATTTGATTCTTGTTTTTTATTTTTTAAATATACTGCTTTGAACCTCAATTTATGTGACTTGACCTGTAGTAATGAATGTGTCAGTTACAGTATGTATATACATATATGATATTCAGTGCAAAAACATGCAGTTTAGAAATATACATGTAACTGAAGTCATATACCTGATCCTGAATTTGACTTGTTGACTCAAATAAGCTGTTTTTTTTGTTGTCATGTTTGACTGATAGTTGGATCCTAATAAATAAATAAGTACAATTGGATGCATTGCCATTTACAAGCGTATTATTATAGCATGGAGAGCAGAAAAAAGGAGAGACAGGATGTGAGAAACGTAGAGGTGGAGGTAGAAAAGGAAAGAATTGAGTGCAGAGGAAAACGTAGAGGAGAGAAGGAAGGAACTGGAGTAGCTAGAATGAGTGTTATTATTAGAAAAGGAAATCAGAAACGCCAGCGAACATGTCCTGTCCTACTGGAGAAAGACCTGGCCTGGTTTTCTCTGTTAGAAAGGCCAAATGCTGCCGATCAGATGCTGTTGTGAATTTTAAAATTGAAACATGTAAACTTCCAAAATACTGTATGTAAAAATGATTATGTTAGAAGGTCAGGGAATTGCTTACTGACCCAATATACTTCAATTGCTGCACCGTAAGTGTCAGGGTGCCCTCACGGGGGAGGGTTCTTTCTATTTCAGTCACATTTCTGCACTTTAAATTTTTGATTATTGTGGTGTTTCTTAAAAAGGCCACAGTTTGTGAGTGGTGGACTGCTTATCGACACTGATGTATATCAATACTTTTCTTTAAGGATGTTCTGAAATAAGTGGTTTTCTACGTTTCCTGTGGATGAGGGAGGAGCAACTGCTACAAATGTCTAGTAGTGATGCGCCTTACCAGAAGCTAAACTTACCAAATTACCAAAGAACTCTAGTCCTTGAGCTTCTGTAACAATGTTCTATCTGTAAGTGTGAGGTTGCTTGTGTTACTCCCTTTACATGCAACTACCACTTTACATATTGTATTTAGCTGCATTTATTAAATAAATCATTAAATTTAGTGAAGTGAGCCCACACTTTTGAACATTTTGCCCTGTCAGCCACAACTGGAGAGCACAGAATTTAAACACTCTGTTACGCAACGTCAAACATAATCGCCTGAAACCGACAGTTTTGTCATCAGTGGGGAACGATTAGGAATTTAAAAAAAATGCCAGCTATGTTAAAATGAATTAAAATACACACAAAATACACTTCTCAATATTTTGGCACTGACAAGTAAGTACTAACTTAATACTGGTTCTTTATTCCTACTTGTGGAAGCAATTTGTCCTTTTACTTTTGAGCTAAAATGGTTCACAAAGTCTGATAAAGATGGGTCTGTGTGATCTGGAAGTATTGTGCTTAGGCATAGAACGATATGTAAACTTCATGTCACGATTATCTTGGTCAAAATAATTGTGATACATGTCTGTATATTACGACAAGTATGAAAATATACTTACATACTTAATATGGCACTAAAACATACTGGAACCACTTTACCTTACATTTTGTGAAGAAACACATATTCAGTCCATCACAGATAGACGCCTCATCTCCCTGTTCTTTATTTTGGAATCTGTACTATTTCCACACATCCTGTTTAACAGTTTTTGGGCGATACAACGGGCAAGCTATCTGCCGCCTTCAACCATGGTGATAGGAGGCGGATTTTGGAATGACTAGAAAAATGTGAGCAATGTCCCCTTGTTCAAAGTAAATCAGGAATATCAATATAGGACTGTATGCTGGAGAGACAGACAGACACCTTTTTCAAATCAAGTTATATGAGAATATTTACGATTATAGCGATACACAATTATCTTGATGATTGAAATTCAGCCCAGTAAATGTATCTGAATGTCGTTCATTGTCATGATACGAATATCATCCCATTCCTAATTGTGCTATACATATATATATATATATATATATATATATACACAACCATATTAAAATATGGGTCTGCTTTTATGAAAAAATTCAGTCTGGTCTAATTGTTTTTTCTGTACGTCATTCAGGTGGCGTAAACCTCGGCACACAGCACTCCTTACACCCAGGGGCCGAAGCTTCACCTGGGTGTTCTACTGGACCAAACCGTTGTGTGGCAGTGGACAAGCACAGAGGTCCAGCATTTATAGGAACACTAACCAACTAAGACCTATGGCAATTCATCAAACGTATTTAGTCATACCCGAATATCAGATGTAAACATCTGAACTCCTTTTAGTTTTTAATAAACTCAACACATTGCTTCTGTCAAAGTCTGCGCTGGGGTTGGGTGTATGGGCGTTGTGTTGACAGCAGGCTGTTGTCATGGTGGGCTGGTATGTCTGAGCCTGAAGCTAGCATAGCTTCCCAGTTTTGTATAGCATGTTAGCATATGGCTAGCTATGTTGACAGATCAAGCCATTACCCTCCCCTCCATCACCATTTCTGGCCCCTACAAGGGGGTATAAACTAGCTGGAAGTGGTGCCCCCTTACCCCGTCATCTTTTCATCTCTTTCATTTTGTCATCTACCCATCCACCCAACAATCATCAGTTTTTGCTTTTGCTCCATCTTTCACTCTCATCAGCCCTCATCCCTTTTGTATAGTATTAAGCAGCTGAGCCTAACTAAGCGTTTGTCTTGTATGAGATCCACTTCTTTCCTTTGAATTCATCTCACATCTTACCCAGTTCCACTTAAATTGCTACAGCTCAGTTCCTGCCCTCATTAAAGTCAAACCCCAGTTTAATTCACATTTTGGCACAGTGTACACCACCCTAACGTCTCACAGTCAAGCTGCTAGGCAGTTGTTTTGGTAGTTGTTTTGGTTGCATGGAATCGGCTTAACCGTGGAGAGGCCAGGCTACCACAAACTGATGGACTTTGACAAGCGAGGAGTAGGGGGAGGTGGAGGAGGAGGAGGAGGTGGTGGTGGTGGAGGAGGAGGAGGAGGAGGTGGAGGGAAGGGAGAGACAGAGGAGGGGAAGAGGATGTCTGGGAAGACGGGGAGTCGATCGGGGCACGGTGGCCGGGGTGCCGGCTCCAACTCTGGCGTTCTAATGGTCGGACCAAACTTTCGGGTCGGAAAGAAGATCGGCTGTGGGAACTTTGGAGAGCTGCGACTTGGAAAGAACCTATACACCAATGAATATGTGGCTATCAAACTGGTAAAATAATGTGTCTTTAAATAATGGTGTATAATAATTTATATATATAGTATAATAATGGTATGGTAAAGAATAATTGTAATGCAAACATAATTCTCTTTTGCAGGAGCCTATCAAGTCACGGGCGCCACAGCTCCACCTAGAATATCGCTTCTATAAACAGCTTGGAAGTTCAGGTGAGAACCACCCACTCTTTTGTCAGGGTCTTTACCCTGAGTAGTTTTAATGGAGGATTTGCATCTGACCAACATTCATAAAGTTATCTGTTTATAGCATATGGACTAATGCTAATAGCAAATATGACTTTTTAAAGTTGTGTTTTAATTCTCTAATTCTGTTATTTTTTCCTGATTTGCCCAATTTGGAATGCCTATTTCCCCATGGCCTGCTGTCCTTGTCACTGTTAGCTCTACTTTTGACCTCGGCAGGGTGCAGGCAGCTATGTTCTACCTCTATATTGCCGGACATATTTACACACTTTTTTCATTGTCCGTTGTCACATTTGGGAGGTACATGCTGTCCCCCGATTGTGCTGACACCCAGACCAATCGGTATGAGTTGCACAAGAGCACTTGATGGGTTTCCCACCAGACAAATTATGATAATTAACCACATGACAAAGCCAGAAGAATTGCCACTGGTTATTTGAACTCAGCTGTGGAAACTTTACTCGTGGTTAAAAAAAGTTAAATATTTGAACACTCTGTAGCATAAGCACCATGTTAGCTTCGTATGTGTCCCCACAAGATGCGCCCTAGCACAGTCTTGAGTGTTAGTCACCCACATTTGGCCACGCACAGAGCCTACACACAGTCACTGTAGTTTTGTGCATAAAACTGAAGAAAATAGAAATGAAACACACAAAAAATGTGCTGTTGCACGGCCTGTGTAGTCAAATGGATTGTTTGAAATGGAAGCACATCTGTTCCCTCAGATGAGCGTAAGACATGGGGTGTAAGAAGATGTCCACACACTTGTATTGCAATCCCATATTATATTTTATCCTGTTTTGTCGGTTCTCAAAAACACTATAGATTAATAGTTTACATGGAGACATTATGACAGTGTTGTAATCTATTTTAGGGAGAAGTAAGCACATATATTTCCTTTGCTCAGATTGTACAAAAACGTAGTGCTGTGTTAAAAGGACTGACTAATACAAGTGCAGATGCCACTGTTGTGGTTGCACAAAAAATTCAACTTTGTATGTAAATGGTGTTGTGTTCTTTATACTGTAACAGTTGTCCTAAAATTAGATGAAAAAAAGTCAAAATATATCACCTTGCTTACTGTATCGTGATATATCATAATATCTTAAATTGTGACCCCTGTATTGTGATACGTATTGTGTTGCCAGATTCTTGCCAATTCACAGCCCTCCCTAATGCCATTCAATTTGTCGTAGGCAGGATAATGAAATGTTTTGGACACTGTAGGACATCTTTGAGCTACAGTTTGTGTATTTAAAATACAGCGTGATGGGCTTTAACTGCTGTCACTCTTCCCAAAACAGTTACAGTCACTTTCATAATGGATGCAGTGATGATTGATGTTTGATCAATATCCAGTGTAAATACATAAATATGCCTGTGTCTGTTCATCCAGAGGGTGTACCCCAGGTGTTTTACTTTGGACCATGTGGTAAATACAATGCTATGGTTCTGGAGCTACTTGGACCCAGCTTAGAAGATCTGTTTGACCTCTGTGACCGGACCTTCTCTCTAAAGACTGTACTCATGATAGCCATACAACTGGTAAGACAAACAGAAAACATTTTGCCTCCAAACACTTGTTGTTAAATGTTTGGTTTCTTATCTTTGCCTTTTTTGCTCCTTAGATAACCCGCATGGAGTTTGTCCACACCAGAAGCCTGATCTATCGAGATGTGAAGCCTGAGAACTTTCTGGTGGGCCGACCTGGCTCCAAACGGCAACACACCATCCACATCATAGACTTTGGCCTGGCGAAAGAATACATAGACCCAGAGACCAAGAAACACATCCCATACAGAGAACACAAGAGTCTGACTGGAACTGCTAGATATATGAGCATCAATACACACCTGGGGAAAGGTGAGCTGCTCCCTCGTGCTGTACCACTACAGCCCAAATCATAGATGTCTTAGGCCTTGTAAAAGTTTGCTTCATTGTTCTTTATAATAACTCTTAATTAGACAATTCTGGGGAGAATAAAAAGATTCTGATGGGCTTGGTAAAATGATTGTAGAAATAATTCACACAGTGGCACGTTACTTCCACCAGAGAACGCGTGCAGAGAGATTAATTTAAAGAGAAACAGTAATGTGAATACACAGAGGAAAGTGGAAGTGTTACAAATGATATTTAACTAGTAATAAAAAGAGGAGAACTAACACATGGTTCCAGACCTCTGAATTGTTGCCCAATTTATTTCAAGTTTTTCAGCGATGTAAATAGTTCTGGTGTTCTAGTTGAACCAATTAGTGCTTTATAGGCAGGATTAAGAATCACCCCAATAAAAATTGTGTGCTCACAAAACACAGATGGGCACAGTGCCACCAAATGTCAACAAAGGAAAAGAAAACATACACATAAGACATATTTTCCTCATTAAAAAGAAAAATACAACGGTGAATTCAAGTTTCTCTCTTATACCGAAATAAGAGCTTGTTAAGCAATCTGATAACACACTTGTGTGAGAAGATACATGGGGTCTACAGCAGTTTTTCCTTTCACTCATTCTTCGGCTTAGTGTGTGTACTGCCCCGCTGAGCAGCAGCGCTCGTTCTTCTGAGGCAGACCATTAAATTGGCAACAAATAAAAATCTGTGATGGACCTCGCAGATAGCTGATATATTTGTCCAATAGCCCAAGTCTATTTTTCATCCCACTTTCTGGTCTGTTTAACACATACCTAGGAATGATGGCTTGCATCTGTTGTGATTGAGACCTATAAAGTCTGTTCTGAAAAGAACCTGTGGATTGTAAGCAACACATTGAGGAAGTACCTGAATTCCAGACAGATAAGCTGAAGACAAGTTTTTGATTTAATAACAGGCAGCAGCAAACAGAAAAGCTTCAGCTTTGATTTACAAGAACTGAGATTTGGAGTCGACCATTTTCTGGGAGTTTATTCCAAATGTGTGGTGCGTAATAGCTGAAAGGTGCAGGACGCCCTGGTGGCAGACCTGGTGTCAGCTAGCGTGCCCTGTACCAACGAGTCCCTGATACAGTGTACATGAGTTCTAGTCCGACCTGTTGCCCTTTGCTGCATGTCATCCTCTTTCCTGTCTATTTTCAGCTCTCCTATGGAATAAAAGCAAAAAGTCCCCCAAAATATAACACCCCCACCCAAAAAACAACAACCTAAAGCTGCCTCTACATGTTTAGTTTTGACTTTGGAAAAATTTAAATTTGGCCCTAAACCATTCAGTGCTTCGTAAACCAACAGTCGTATTTTAAAATCAAGCCTGTGACAGACAGGAAGCCAGTGTAAAGAAGAACAGGAGTGATGTGATTCACTTTTTTGCTCTTGGTAAGGACATGAGCAGCAGCATTCTGGTTAAGCTGCAGCTGTCTGATTGATTCTTTAAAGAGACCTGTAAAGACAGGATAATCATTAGTGATAATATGGCTCAAGTATCAAAAAGGAATAACACCATGGTGAATATATTTCACCAGCCTTTCTCACAGCAGGGGTATTGTGTTGAAGCATAGAGTTCTTGGCATTAGAGGTGTTGAATTTAGCAGCACTGATGCAGCCCAGCCGTTTAAGCCTTTGTTGTTGTTCTGTGTTTATTTCAGAGCAAAGCAGGCGGGACGACCTGGAAGCTCTAGGACACATGTTCATGTACTTCCTGCGAGGCAGTCTACCTTGGCAGGGACTCAAGGTGAGGAGACAGCCAACCAACACCAAACCAGTGTGTTCATCACTTCAGTCATCTTTCTTTTGGGTTTTCCCCGTTCCTTTCAAGCATGGATCTCTGTCTTCAGTCATTAATAAATTCCTCCCTGTCTCTGTCGTTTTTAGGCTGACACTCTGAAAGAACGTTATCAGAAGATTGGAGACACAAAGAGAGACACACCAATTGAGGTCCTCTGTGAAAGCTTCCCTGGTTCGTATACACACACACACCTCTACAAAACAGCTGTTGCATATATACCCCGGTACGCATTTGTTGATCAAATTTCATGTGTCTGTGTATGAATATGTCCACGTGTGGGTTCGGTGCCTGTGTGTATGTAACAGAAGAGATGGCCACCTACCTGCGGTATGTGCGTCGGCTCGACTTCTTCGAGAAGCCAGACTACGACTATCTGAGGAAACTCTTCACGGACCTCTTTGACAGAAATGGATACATCTTTGACTACCAGTATGACTGGACTGGAAAGCCACTGGTTAGTGTGGAGTGTGTGTTTTGTGTTGTGCATGCACAGTGAGCTGTCTGAGCTGAACTTACTGCTCGGTTTAGAGCAGGGTCGATGCTGAGAGGTCAGTTCAATAGTGATACATAATCATATGACTCATTTACTGTGTAAACAGGAAGTGATGAAGTCATTAACTTAGAGACTTAGACCTAAAGTCACTTCCTCCTCCAAGTTTTAATCGAGTGTGGTCAGCAGAAAACAAATAATGTGAGCTTGTAGTACACAATGCTGTGACATTCAGCATTCTCAGGCTGCTACATTTGATGTAATTAGTTTATAAAATTGATAATTTAATCCACTGTACAAAGTACTTCACAAAAATTTTTTATAAAACACAAGTCATAAACTCATCAGTTTTAAAAGAAATTTCCAATTATATTAAACAAGAAAATATGAAAACGAAACATTTAGGGAAATAGGAAGATTAAAGTTCAAGTAAAATCAGGAAAGCTCTGTTTTAGGAATGGAGAATGGTCTTAAGCTCAATAGTAGCACACCAAGTCCACATAAAGAATCCTCATGTAACCATCTGTGTATTTCCTCACTCTGATCCCATGTTGACCTCACTTCATGTGTGTTTAGCCCACTCCTATTGGTCCGGTGGCCAGCGAGACTCCACTTCAGACGAGCAACCGAGAGAAAGCACCGCAGACCAAAAATCAGGTACGCATGCTCATTCTGAACAAATATGCAACATGTTAGCATTGCCATTCCTGTGATTTTAAGTAGAGTCAGAGTATTTGGAACAGATTCAGTACATAATTGCCAAACGTTCAGTAATTCATACAGTGGATGTCCCAGTCTACTCACGGTATGTCAGTCACGTGAAGCAGCCCTGCGTCTCACTCACAGTGCTGCTCTCTCAGCTTTTGTCACTTTCTTTGCTCTACTTAAACAGCCAATCCTGCAGAGATCTGAACTAAGGATGTTAACACCAAAAGTTAACTGCAAAAAGTCTGCATTGTTACATTTCATAATTCATGTAGTATAGTTATTGTGCCTGTTAGCTAAAGTATTTTTAAATTCAGTCACAGTGGACAGTAGACGTGTTTTGACACTGATCAACAGAAAAGCTTGAACACACTGTGTGTTGGTAGGGTGGGAACCGAACTCCGATGCTTTTGTGGTACCAACCGAATTAAGTAAAAAAAATCATCAGCGTTATTGCACATTTTCTTAGCTGCAGAGACAACCAAATGAACTTTTTGCTGCTAGTTAGCCAGCCAGTGCAGCTAACCTGTATCTGCTCGTTGGTTAGTCCATTAGCCTCATGGTCTACTCGGATGGAAGCTGCGGCACATCCTCTCCTCACCAAAGGCAGAGAGCGTTTCAGGCGGCATGGAGTGGTTTACAGGCCGGCAGGTAAAAGGGGAGAAACACACTGAAGTTGAAGGTGGATTGTTGTCTGACCCAGGGTAACTGGTCTTTACCACAGAGACAGTAAGAGGTCTCACATTCTATTTCCACACTGAGCACACGGTAGACAGTACACAGCATATACCCACATCTGGGCAGTGGCATTTACTGTATACTTGCCTAAAGATAACCACAGGTACATGCCACTGTTCATTTTGTGGAAGGCTGTAGGTAATTATTTCTTTAGTGTAATCTGTGGTATTTACTATGCACAAGAGATTTATGTTCCCTGACTTTAGCCTTTTAGGTAATGCCTCCTCCCAAGAAACATAAATTCCCCCGCATAATAGCACCAAGCTTTGAGGGAAGTGCTGTCTTTAGGGCAAACTCAGAGAGCAAATGTCCTTTCCGTTGCTGTCGTACCATAACCCACAAGCTTCTTGGTGGGGACAGATAGATAGCTAATACAAATATGAACTGAACACACAAAAGCACAGTATTGCACTTTGTAAAGGAGAAACAAAACTGTCAAAGTAGATGAGAGAAGGCAGTGAAAATCTAGGAAAAATGTGTCTGATGCTCATTTTCATCTAGAGCTGCTTAATTAATCATATTATAGACACCACAATATGGCCAGGTGCAATTTGATAAAAGTAAAATGTGAGACAAAATAACATTATATTGAAGTACTGTAGTTCTACAGAGATGCCCTGGCCTACAAATCTTGTTCTCCACATTTAAGACAACATGTTTAAAACGGACCGCAAAAATGTCTTTTAATAGTTTTGTTTTTTGGTGAAAATTAAATTTGTGACACAAAAACTATTATTCCCACACTATTCGTGTTCATATTGCAATCACAATATCTGTCAAAATAATTGCAATATCATGGTTTTATTTCTGTTTTCAAATGGTGCATATTTTCATCCCAAATGTGTCACATCTCTGACTGACTGACATTGCACAATATCATCCTGGCGTGATCCTTGAATTTAGATCAGTTTGCTAAGATGTGTTTGGAGTTTGACATGAAAGCCTTTCTTTCTGTTGACCAGTGTCAGAAAACATAAATTTTGCATCTGTTGTTAAATGCTGTTACACAAAACATGGAAAAACCTCAGTGTACAGTAAGCACTGTGTTCATGTGTCGATGGAAATCCAGTTGCTCTGCACTGTTATTAAAAATAGTATGAAATGGAAATGGTTTTCATGGTGTGTCAACAAAATAGGATATTGTAGAACACTAGTTCATGTACACATTCATACAAGTAACCCACACATTACGCTCTCACAAAGGGCTGGGCGGTATCATCTAAAGTTGATACACTTGTACTGTGTATTATCTAGGGCTGCCCCATAAAAGTCGATGAATTGAGTCATCAGTTGTCAGTCGAATCACTGCACTTCTTTTTAGCTGTGTAATTGTACAGCAGAGCACTGCAGGAGCAACAGCATGGCAGGGTTTAAACTTTAAAAACTGAGTCCTGAACCTCATTTACACCTGGTATTATTATACAGTTTGTATCCGCATAAGGAAAACTGTATGCTAATGCAAGGTGTAAAAGCATTGTGATCTGAATGCGATCAGATCTACTTGTCCACATCTGGCTGGCATTGTGTGTGGATCTTATCGTTAGGTGTAAACACAATCCACACAAAATGCACAACATAACGGATAGGTCATGTCGTATTTGTTTTTAGCTAACATTGAGTATAAGTTGTTCAAATTTAGAGAGCGAGCAAGTGAGATGGTTGAAATAGACACTCCAATAACCGATTATCCATCTGTTCTCTGCCAAAAGATGTGTTATTCAACTGAACTGCTTGAAAAGCAATACGGGTGGAAATGAATGATATACAGTAAGATATAACTCTCTGCAACTAATCTGTGCAGCTGATCAGCTATTAACAAGGCTAATAATTAATCTACACACAGAGTTGCCGACAAGCCAGTTCTGCAACACACCAAGACAAACTGACACAATATTTTTTATACAGAGAAAGGAATAAAATGGACAGATTTTTTTTTTTAAGGAAGTCTGCTGATTTGCCACCTCTTGAGTTACGAGGAACGAGGATAACAAGAATGCATTAAAAATATAATTTTAATACCAGGAGTGAATGGGGTGAAAATAATGGAACAACAGAACTAACTGCGATGTGTGTAGAGAAGGCTGATGGAAACAGGGAGCAGCACGACTCGTGTCTTTTGGCTGCTCGGAGCTGACGCTGTGTGTGTGTTCCATTTGGTCCACCAACATTTTTTTTTAATTTGTGTCAGTTTCTCCCCATTGTCTTAGTATTCAGATGTGTTGGTTTTAACATGGTTTTTGTGACGTAAAAATCCATTCTATACCAGAACAAATGCTACTTCCCAATTAGGGGTGGGCGATATATATCGTTTGCGATAATATCGTCATTGTTGTTTTTACGATGTGCAAATATCGAGTATTTAAATTACTTCGCCAAAAATATTGAAACGCACGCGGAAACTCACATCCACTTAATACACGGTGCAACAACACTCTCTACAGCATGGCAGGATTCAGTCACACGACAAGTGGGCCTACATGATCACATGACGTGATCACATGACCTCTCGCTAGCATCCTCCTTGCAACAGTTTAGCAGCGCGTTGTGATGGTAGAGAGAAAATGCAAGCACCTCCAGTCCCTGAAGCTACCGGTACTTCAGATGATTTAGTGCCGAGACGTGGGTCTACCTCTCTGGCATGGAAATGGTTTAGTTTCGAAAAGACTTTTTTTAGTGCAGCGCTCAGAGCGCTTCTAGTTGAAATCTGTTCAACGTAAGCCACCACTGGGCGCTCGGAAAATGAGTTTTTGAGTGCTTTCAGCACTAAAAACGCATTTGGTGGACACAAGCCCTAACTCAGACAATTCCAATCACATTTTAAAGGATATCGACTGATTATCGTTTATTATTTTTTGCCCATATCGCCCACCCCTATTCCCAATCTGTATTTTTTGCATATTTCACAGTGAGCAATGACCAGTTCTACCGCCCAGCCTTACATTTATATTCACAAACACAAATGCACCAGTAGTTAGGTTGCAGGCTTATTTGGGTCTAATCCCAACAAACCACCTCCTTCCCCTTTTGCATGGGGCTTCCACACGTGCGCACTCTCCTGTGCACTTTCACTGTACTGCACACTTGAGTGCTCACGCTACTGTTGCTCCTCCACCAAATACTGACTCTGTACTCACTACTTCTTTTCTCTTTCCTTTTTACTCTTTGCTTATTCTCTCCTCACCGTACTGCTCCTCACCCCGCCACTCCTCACCTCCATCTGTTTGTCTTCCCACTTCTTCCTCGCCTTACTGCTTTTCCTTCTTCTCTCACTCTAATCCACACTGCTTCCTCCCCTTTCCGTGCGACCCTCCTCTTCCTTCTCACTTGTCCTCTTCCCCATCCTCCTCCTCCCTTCTCGTTTTTCCTGCGATTGGCTTCCTGTCTCCTCTAGTCTCCAGAGGGGAAAGGCAGTGAGTCCCAGCCCACTCCAGTGACCAATCGAGAGCTGCTGGGCTCCCATCTCACTGCTGATAGGCTGGGCGGGTCTGTCCAGGTACTGAGAGGAAGGGTTAGCTCTGCTAGCTTCCTGTCTGTCTGCCTACCTGTTATCCGTCTGCCTGCATGACCTCCTCTGTCTCTGCAGCAGGGCTGACTTCAAGTGTGTTTCCTCACAACCTCAATAATTCCCTCACATGGGACTATTATGATAGACATTCCAAATTAAAACCTTTACTTATCCATGTTAGGTAATCTTACTTTTTAACTAGTGCTGTCAAACGATTAAAATATTTAATCGCAATTAATCGCATTAATGTCATAGTTAACTCGCAATTAATCGCACATTTTTATCTATTCTAAATGTCCCTTGATTTCTTTTTGTCCCATTATTTTTTTCTCATTTTAATGCTCTTATCAGCATGGAAAAGTAAACTTTCCATTCAGAATATTATTGGCATCCATTTCGGCGTCTCGCGCTCGCCATCCACTCAAAACCTAACGTCTACTACTCTTAAACAAGTGTGTTTTGTTTCCGGTCTAGCTAGATCCGGTGTGGTGTTGTAGTTTTTCTAACGTTACTAGTTGGTGCAACAGCACGTGAAAAAAACTACAAAGTGTGCTAGGCCAAAAAGAACGTTAATCTCACGATAAAAAAATGTATGCTGTTAAAATGGGTTTGCTTTAACGCCGTTAATAATGTGTTTAACTGACAGCACTATTTCTAACATGAAAGTAATGGAGACTACCTGCAAAGGGGCAGACGGTGGTTTGACATATATATAGACAAAGGCCACATGATGTAGGCTGCTTTTTGGGGGGTGACTAGTGACAAGGTAGAAGAGGCTGGGGTTCATACTGTATTTGAGGCAACAGCTAGAATAAATAATAGAAAGTCAGCAGAAATTAAGTTGGTACTTATGGTTGAGAAGTTTTCTTTACTCTGCATAGGGTCAGCCCACAGTGCAGAGGTGAATGTGTTAGAAAGTTGATATTTGTTAAGAATTTACTTGTGAAGTAATCCATGTGGAAACAGATTAGGATTTAATGCATTCTGAGGCACTAGTAGTTTTTCTATGTTGCTTGACATAAAAAAGCACCCCAGCTGTTACAATGTAGTGAACGCACTGATTGTGAAATTCTGGGCTGATACAGATGTTTAAAATAACAATTTGTCCCATACCAATGTTTTTTGTTATTTTTTTGCCCTTTTCTGCCTTGTTGCAGCTCAGTCTGTTTCTCTTCTCATCCAAGATGTGAGAGGCAGAACAGCCGCTTACTGTCCGTGCTGCTGCGTGGATCACATCAGCGTTTGCATGTAATTTGTGCCGGTGCTGGCAAACAGAGGAGACTATTTCTCCAATATGCGAGTTGGAAATAACCAACACAATGTTTAGCCAGCACAAAATTGTGCATACATACATATCTAATTTTCCATTACCATCTCTACCTTGTAGCCATGGCTTACTTTGTAAGAAGTAGCATCATGCTTCATATATTGTGTCATTGTTTGTGTCCAGCATACTCACAAGATAACTGACATATTATTTACTTTATTGGTATTATAAAGGAAGTTTTTCCTTGCCACTGTCACCAAGAACTTGCTCGTGGTGGTACTGTTGGGTCTCTGTAAATAATGTTATAAGCAGTACAGTCCAGACCTGCTCTATATGAAATTTGTTCTGTGAGGATTATAATTTGGTAGTGGTGTGTTAATGTATTCTAAGATTTTATCAAAGATATGTCTTTTTAATGGGATTTTTGTGGCAAATACAAAAAGTGTATTAGGACTGTACAGCACTGTTTAATAGTAATGCAGTCTGCAAGGAAATAAAACATTAAAACAAAGAAGCAGACGGGTGGGGTAAAAACAGGAACCAGGAATTATATGTATAAACTAGACACCAGTGTCAAAAAAGTTATTGTTTCACCTACAGTGACACACACAGCAAGCTAACAATGTAATGATTTTGTTGACGTGTTACAAGTTAGTGAAAACATACCTCTTTATATTTCTCAATATGTTTAAATGGAGCAGTATTTTAAACACATTAGTAAAAGGGACCCAGTCGTTTTTTATTGAATATGTATATTGATCGATTTGGATTTTTGAACATGTTTCTATAGGAGAGCGGCATTGCCATTTATGATACTGCATTTTAAGCTTGAAGTGGGTAAGCCTGAGAGAAGTTGATTTTAAAAAAATTTCAGTGGCCTGTGCACTGAAAGGATGAGAAATATTTAAAAAGGAAAAGATGATGGGTTTAATGGTTAAGATGCTTAAAGGAACTGAAAACTGCAAGTTTGTACTAGCATGTATGTGAGCTGTTCAGTTGGTAAAAGATTTAAAAGTCCAAAAATTGTCATTGCTTTTTGTTTTAAATTCTCAAAGTCAGCCATCAATAAAGGTCCAGTGAGTAACATCTAGGAGGTTCTATTGACCAAAATGCAATAGAAAAGTGTATAATCACTATATAATCACCTGAATATTGGAATCATTGTGTTTTTGTTACCTTTATAATGAGCTGTTTTTATCTGCACACCCCGCTGGTAGTGTAGCCCAGAAGGGACAAACCAAACACGCACTGTACATAGGGCCTGTAGTTTCTCCTACACACTTCTCAGCCCGTTATCATTCCCATGTTGTCAAATACAGACGCGAGTGGTGTTCAGTTAGTTTCAATCTGCAACTGCACTGCTAGATGACACTTAATCCTACACACTGGACCTTTAAGCAGAGGTGCCGCTATTTTGCATGGCAGCAAAGTGAATGTTTACAATGCCTGTTTAGGTGTTAGGCTACCCTGGATGTCACAGCTCTTATGGACTACTAAGACCACGTCCACATTAAGCTGGCTACATTTGAAAACTTTTCCTTTGAGGATGGAGAGCAGGACACAGATTTAAGTTGCTGAGACTCACCCGGGCTCTGTTTGTCACATTGCTTTTTGGCTGTAAGGAAGAAGAGTTTTCTATAGTTTTGGTGTGTCTGTATAGAAAAAGGACTTTTTACAATATAACCAGAAAACACTTGTGTGGAAGCATGTGGTTTTCACACATAAACAGTGTTTTTCAGATTTATCTGACTTAATGTGGACGTAATGTAAGTTTTTTAATTGAATCCCTCTAATATAGGACATTGGTACATCTGTGCTCATCCCTCTGTCTTCCATTCCCCGCCTCCAGGTGATGAGTTCAACCAATGGGGAGCTTAATACAGACGATCCCACTGCAGGGCACTCCAACGCACCAATCACAGCCAATGCAGAGGTGGAAGTGGCTGATGATACCAAGTAAGAACACACATTAGAGTAGAGCGCCAGGGCTCTTCTTTTAACTGTTTTACAAGAAATCTGAAATAACCAAAATCTGTTTTTGGCTAGAAACTGTGTGTATGTAAACCATGTAGTATAAAAAGGTGATTGAGAGTAGATGTAGACAAACACTGACACCTCATGATCAGCTCATTGATCAGCTGATGAACAGCCTGTTTAAAGTTAAAGTGAGTTTAAATGCAGTTTTCAATAAATGCCTACTCTATTTTTTGTCTCTTGCTCCTGTTTCTTCTTTTTGCATTTTGAAGCTCTACTTACAACCTGGTTACATTCCACCAGCGCCAAATGCCAATACTTGTAATTTCCCCCCCGGTCTTAAGATTTTGTTCAGGAGTGTATAATCCCTGCCGCTGGGTCAAATTCAGTCAGATTCCCCTTGAAAGGATCTATCCGTTAATGATGGTTTGTGTGTTGCAGGTGCTGCTGTTTCTTCAAGAGGAGGAAGAGGAAAGCTCTCCAGAGACACAAGTGAAAACGAGAGACAAGAGAGAAACCCTGGTCTCTTCTTCTTTTTCTCTCTCTCTCTGTCTCTAGCCTTCTTCATACAGCCCCCTTCCACCCCCACCCCCACCCTCACCCTCTCAGTCCTCCTCATCCTCTGCTGTTGGCGGTCTCCTGGTCTACCTTAGGTTGGCTGGACTGGCTGGACCACCGTGCAGCTGAGTGTGTTTGCTAAGCTGATCTACTGGTTTCAACTGCTCTGGACTGAGACAGAGTAACACGTGTTTGCTGTTCCACCTCGGAGCTTTAAACGGTGACTGGCTGTACCAGCGGTAGAGTCTTCATGTATTAACGGTCACAAACTGAACTGAAACTGGATCAACACAAACTGCTGTGGGAAACAAGTGATGACAAACAAACAGTTGGCAGATTGTCAGAGGCGAGCCGATGGGCTGATTAAGCTGGTTTACTGGCAGACTGGCTAGTTCTTTATTATTTTGTTTTTGTTTTTTTTTTCTTCCTTACTGACTGGTTCAGGGAAGAGAGAAGTGTATTTCAGAGGAGATATACAGAAGAGAGGACTAAAAGAGGATGGGAGGCAATGAGACTGTCGGACCACACTTGCACACAAAACAGACACACACACACACACACACACACACACACACACGTACAAACACGCTGCACACTTTCTCGAGGTCATCATAAAGAGACTTCCTGGACACAAAGATGCAGCTCTTGCACATAGTCTATAAAGTTTTTATTCTCTAGGGTCGTAGGAAGTACACAGTGAGTGGCTTGGTCTATTTCCCGCAACGGATTGGCCTCAGTGTACTTCTCAGACACGTTCACTCTCAGAGGAAAACCTCACAACCACCAGAATCAAAAGTTAAAAAGATGTTTATGTGAAAACTATGCTTTTTTTCCCCCCTGTTTTAATTTGTAACTAAAAAAAGACTGTCTACAATTTGGAACCTGTGTTATTTTTTCTGTCTTTTTGAGTTGTACAAAAGGTTTGTGTTTTGTAGCTTCGATTGTGTTCCTCAAAATGTTTTTTTTTTTAATAACTTGTATTTTAAATTTTCTGTTATGTTTTTTTTCCTCTTTCTCTCTGGGTTGGAGGATGGAAAGGCGAATAACTCCATTAAAAAACAACCAAACAAAATAAAAACTGATCTTTATTTAAGGGAATCATGACCAATATCAATATCCCTGTTTTAATGTGTCATTTAACTCTTCAGCTTTATCCCAAAAGTCTTGTCGGTCTTTCATGGTTTGATAACGGTTTTGTTACAATGTGGATGATCAGTTAGATGTAAGAGTGCAAATTGCCACGCTAGGATCCAGCACGGAGTTTGAGGAGGCAGGCTGCAACAATTAGTCAGTTAACCGATTAGCTGCTAACTATTTTGATAATCGATTAATCAGTTTGAAACATCGGTTAGCTCAGTCGGTAGAGCTGGCGACCCATATATGGAGTTGCTGCAGCGGCCCGGGTTTGGGTCGGACCTGCGGCCCTTTGCTGCGTGTCATCCCCTATCTCTCTGCCCACCTTTCCTGTCGATCTTCACCTGTCCTATCCAATAAAGCCATAAAATAACTTTAAAAAAATAAAACTAACCGATGCAGCCCTGTTAGAAGTCTTAATTGTCTTTGACCATCATACAATAGTTTTTAAAAACAGCCATGAGTAGGCTATGTGTGAAATTGCTACAGATTTACTTTTTGATCCTCAGCTGCCGTAGTCCAGATTAACTGCCTACTTTGGTTATTGAGCAAATCAAATGAAATGGTAATTCATTTGAAATGGTTCTGAACACGGTCAGCCTGTGGAGTGCTTGATCCAGCATGTCGACGGAGCAGGGCTCTGTAAAGATGTGTACACAAGTCTCTGATTTCCTGTTTGGCCAGCCTGAGTCCCATTTCATTCAGACCAGACATCAGCCAGGAGCAGCCTTAAATCCAAGCTGGCCAAGCATAGCTCCCATCCCTCTCTTCTTCTCCTGGGGTGACAGTATGCACTGTAGTGGCCTCCGACTGACTGGCTGGGTGAATTATCAAGATCTGTATCTCTTTAATCCACCCCATGCTTCCTTTTCTGATGACGGTGGGTAATGGTGCAGGCGGTTTCTGTCATAGGTAATACATGTTTTAGCAGTGAAACAGGTTTGAGGTTTGAAGGAATAGAAGCATCCGGATGTGCAGCTGTTGCCATAGTCAAAATCCCCAGATGCAGTTGATTTGAACACTTCTAGCTTAGCACTTAACAATCAGACATCATTGCATGATGTTTCAGTAATGAAGCTGAAAAATACAGATTAAAACAAAAATGTAGCAGGTTTGAGGGAGTTACCAGCCGCTGCGTCCTCATGCACAGCTATCGCCATGACCAGTTGTGTTGAAGTACAATGGTACATGCTGATGTTATATGTACAAAGTTAACCATCTTAGTTTTGCATGCTAACATTTGCTGACATGCTTTAACACAGTACAGCTGAGGATGATGGGAATGTCAGTTTGGCAGATACAGGTGGAGGTTCATAGACCAATGTATTAAATAACCAAAGTTGGTATTTATGGAGCAAAAGAAGCCCCCAGTGTTTTTTAAGATTTACAAATGTAAATAGGGTTTTGTTAAATGCAGAATTTGATTTTTTTTACATGTGTAAATAATACTGGCACTCTTCATTTCATAATCCTTTATGAGGTGATGTTGTGGAAGATGCTGGTGTTGTGTCTTCATTACATTTTTGAGTTTTAGGTCAAACTCAGACTCTTTGTGTTGAATTAAACTAACGATAATTAATGATAATTTACCTTTCCTCTTTAGAACAACTTAAATGGAAACAAAAGAAAATCTGTATTTCAAAAATGTTTCAGATAACTCATTAAAGTGATAAACGGTGAATAATTTCATACTTTCCATTGCAACTATGTAATTTTCAAGAAGCAAAATAATGAATCCTGTTCACAGCTCAATGAACAATTTCTGAAATACAGATTTTTTCCAGTTTCCAAAGATTTACATTTTTTAAAACTTAAAAGTTTAAATTTGACTTAAAACTGTTAAAAACAGTGAAGACAATTGCCTTGAAATTATGAGTTTTCTTAACTTTTCCTTTTTTTACAGTGTTGAGCTGTGAGTCATCCCCAGAATCCTGTCCTGGTAATCTCACTTCATGTTCTGGAACACCTGGAAATGAGAGCTTAATGGTTTGAAACATTAATGTCATCACATCACCAATCCAAGGAGGGTGATGTGACCCTCTCTCAGATCTGGTTAAGAACATGGCAGCCACATATAGCACCATGAATACTTGATTCTGATTGGCTGCAGGGTGTCCATTAATTCATGTAAGTAGTTCTTTTGAAACTATCTGTTTGCTTTCCTTCAATGCCTCATCTTCTGAACACCACAAGATGGTGACTGTAACACACATGCCCCCACACTGCTCCTCTGGACACTTTGTATAAGCCAGTGGTTCCTAACCCTTTTCCATCATAGTAAACTGACAACCCCTGACTCAGTGACATATTTTATGGATATTTTATATTATATTCAAAACTGTACAATTAATCCAAACAGTAACTTTGTAGTAAGCGTAGTGTTTTTTTATGAGCACATTTTTGTTCGAATTGACCTTTACGTGAGCATTTTATGAAATATGACACTGCAAAAACATATTAAAAAAAGGGCATATAAATCTTTCACATATACCAGGCTGCAATAATCAAACCATAAATAATCCAGTTTGCATTAAGTATATTGAAAATAAATCATTTATTGTGTTTTTTAGACCATAAAATGGTGTTGCATCATGATAAAAATATGTCAATTTAAGGGTTAAAACGTTTTAAAAATTCATTAATATTTGATATGTATGATTGCAACTGATACTGGTTTAAATTAAAAATTTTATAGCTTGATTTTTTATGAGCACATTTTAGTTAATAATGAATTTACTAATTGATTAATGAATCTATAAATAAATAGAATTAGGCTACAGTGTAATTCATTGTCAAGGAAAGAAAGAGGAACCCATCAATAAAAAGTTCAAATTGAAAGGGATCTAAAAAAAAACAACATAACTCTGTCATTAAGTATATCATTAAAATAATTATTATTGAATTCATAAATGTAAACATTTTGGTTGAGTGTTGAAGCTTTTTGCTCCTGGGCAGATCAAGAAGTTTTACTCCCCAAATTATTCATAAAAGAATGCAGTAAGTTCTTTCCTTGTTTAAGTGACTATGGGAGTGATTCACAGCCCTTGAGGAAATATTTTTCATATGACTAACCAAACATTTTTCCCTATAGGGTAAGCAACATTCCTCCACTAACCCTAACCAGCCAGAAAAGTCAGTTTTAGGCTTGCTAGCTTTCATATCCTATCAAATATCAGATCAAATATTTAAGCTTTACATACTCCCATTAGCTGAAATTACCCAAAGTTTTAAAGTCTCATCACATGTATGCAGATGACATGCAAATATATAAAGCTGTGTCTCCAAACCAATATAGTTCAACAGATTCTCAGTTAGACAAATAACATTTAAGTAGTCACATTAAATCAATAACAAAATCAGCCTTCTACCACGTGATATGGAGGAACTAGTACATGCATCTATTCACAGGTCTGTCTAAGACGGCAATCAGACAGCTTCAGCTGATCCAGAATGCTGCTGCCAGGGTTGTGACAAGGAGGCAAAAAGCGCAGCACACACTACAGTTCTCAGATCATTACATTGGTTAACAGTTTCTCACAGAATCAACTTCAAAATTCAGTTTCTTGTCCATGAGTCACTGAACAGTTTAGGTGCAAGATACTTCAGATCAGATCTGTCTCTTTAAAGTCCAGATGAAATTTAAAAAATGCCCCTTTTTTACCCTCAAAGATTACATCCCAAGTCATATTGTAGCCCCCATTTAACAATGTATGCAAACAAATTTACCAAAACTGCATTTCTTTGAATTTTTATATTGAAATCCAATCATTTTGTCTGCCAGTAAAAGGAAATGCCAAGTGTGCTTACATAAGCCTAGACTAACTGATTGCAACAGTGTGTAACAGAGCTAAGGTTCAAGAATTCAAGGATTTTACCATTAAAATTAAATTCAGACTGTAGATGAATCAAATAGTGAATTCCACTGTTTACGATAAGATAAATATCGTACAATAAGCATTGGACTACAAGAGAGTTGCAAGCCTACTAAAATACTTATTTTAAGCTTTGAATAGTCGAGTCAGGTTCTGGAGGTGTTGTTACAGCAATTGCGCAGAGCTGACGTGGCCTGTGGTGGAGGGCCCATAATGATATCTTTTTATGGGGACCAAAATCCCTTGCGGCATCCCTGATTGTTAATGGCTTTGGAATTGACCCCTTTCTCTACTCCTTTAAGATAGAAAAAGTTTAAAAAGGAATGTTCTAAAAACAACCTGCTGCTTTGCATATTCTGTAAGGAAGGTATGTGACACAACAATTATACAACTAGACTGGTGCACCTGAAAGCCCTCAGGGTAAATAGACAGGCCATCTCACTGTGACAGAATGTAATACAGGTACATTCTTAAGGATGATGATTGACATAAGCCCTATGCATATAACAATAATGATAATAAATGTTAAACTTCTTGATAAATAAAGTCAACATTAACAACAATTAACATAAAAATATTTTTTTCTTATATACAGGAGACCAGAAGTGTAACAAAAACAATAAAGCATTTAATTAATGAATATGTGTATAATGAAAATAAACTAAGTTAATTACTATGTATGACAGCCTTAAAACAACCAAATTCATGGGATTTATTACCATAAAGACATATAAACACAACACTGAATCTAGATTAAAAACACAGTAGGCAGAGCTGGCGACCCATGTACGGAGTTGCTGCACCGACCTAGGTTCGAATCCGACCTGCGGCCCTTTGCTGCGTGTCATCTCCTCTCTCTGCCCCCCTTTCCTGTCTATCTTCGGCTGTCACTATCAATAAAGGCAGTAAAAGGCCCAAAACAAAACAAAAAAAACAAAAAACAAACACAACAGCAACACAAATCCCAGGCTGAGAGTCAACAAGACCAGCAGCCCCCTTCCCAGCACCCTTACCTTTTTCAAACCTCTGCTTTGGCAACATTTTTGATTTAAAACGTCATCCCAATAAAGACAATTAAATTGAAACTGAGTGGACACCATTAAATGGTGATAACATGTCACCTGACAAAGGATTTCAGGCCATTTTAACAAGAACATCTCCACCTAATGTGTCTTTAAATGTCTTGAATTTAAGTAGAAGTTTGAAGGAGAAAATAATGTAGGCTAGCTTACATATCAGATCAAATATCAGATCAAATATTTCATCTCCCTAAATGAAATGAAAAGTCCTAAATGATATTTCATCAAGACTCTTTGAGATGATTTCTGTAAACAGAACTTATTTGGTCATCATTGGGAGCTCCTAAAAATGGAAATTGACAAATATATTTGATTATATGGCAGCAATTTTGCAAAAATGGATGTCTTTGTAACAGTGCCAGCAGCTACTGGAGAGGTGTCTGCTACAGGACCCCAGACTTATCTATGATTCCATGTCCATCACAAATGTCCCTCCACCTGGTCCTCCTAGCCAGACCTCAAACCAGCTTGGATGGGGCCGTTGAACGAGTGGCTGCGACTCACCGACTGACATTGAAAGAAAGCGTTGCAGTCAGCCACCTCAACACTGCCTTTTCCTTGCCGTCACATCTGGAGCTACATGGTACTTGTGGTCTGAGAGTGCCATGGTCCCACTCATGTTGTAACACAAAGTTTATGACGCACTAACACACTGTTCCATTTTCTTTGTATGAAAAGTGCCATACAAATAGTCTGACTGATCGATTGGGTGTTGAAGCTTTTTGCTCCTGGGCAGATCAAGAAGTTTTACTCCCCAAACTGGTTTTTGTTACGTCAAGCAGTCCATTGTGGTACTTCACTTTTCTCAGCAATTATTCTTTAAATAATGCAGTAAGTTATTTTAAGATGTTTATGTTAAGAAGCACATTTCAGTCGTGCATGAAGGAGTGAATTCCAGACAAAAGCACATTACGTATTATTTATAAATAACTGTTGTTGTCCTCGGGGGCCAGTGAAGACCTAAAGTCTGTGCCCACCATAACAGTCTGTCGTTAAAAGAGTAAAAACCAAGCCAGAAAGCTCAGTGTCACCTACATTCAGACCTACATTTCAGTAGTTATATTAAATCAATAACAAAATCAGCCTTCTACCACCTTAAAAATATCACAAGCATCGATGTCAAAACATGATGTGGAGAAACTAGTACATGCATTTATTCACAGGTCTGTCTAAGACGGCAATCAGACAGCTTCAGCTGATCCAGAATGCTGCTGCCAGGGTTGTGACAAGGAGGCAAAAAGCGCAGCACACACTACAGTTCTCAGATCATTACATTGGTTAACAGTTTCTCACAGAATCAACTTCAAAATTCAGTTTCTTGTCCATGAGTCACTGAACAGTTTAGGCTCAAGATACTTCAGATCAGATCTGTCTCTTTAAAGTCCAGATGAAATTTAAAAAATGCCCCTTTTTTACCCTCAAAGATTACATCCCAAGTCATATTGTAGCCCCCATTTAACAATGTATTCAAACAAATTTACCAAAACTGCATTTCTTTGAATTTTTATATTGAAATCCAATCATTTTGTCTGCCAGTAAAAGGAAATGTCAAGTGTGCTTACATAAGCCTAGACTAACTGATTGCCACAGTGTGTGACAGAGCTAAGGTTCAAGAATTCAAGGATTTTACCATTAAAATTAAATTCAGACTGTAGATGAATCAAATAGTGAATTCCACTGTTTACGATAAGATAAATATCGTACAATAAGCATTGGACTACAAGAGAGTTGCAAGCCTACTAAAGTACTTATTTGAAGCTTTGAATAGTCGAGTCAGGTTCTGGAGGTGTTGTTACAGCAATTGCGCAGAGCTGACGTGGCCTGTGGTGGAGGGCCCATAATGATATCTTTTTATGGGGACCAAAATCCCTTGCGGCATCCCTGATTGTTAATGGCATTTGTAATTGACCCCTTTCTCTACTCCTTTAAGATAGAAAAAGTTTAAAAAGTCCTCAAAAAAATGTCAGAAATAAAGGAATGTTCTAAAAACAACCTGCTGCTTTGCATATTCTGTAAGGAAGGTATGTGACACAACAATTGTACAACTAGACTGGTGCACCTGAAAGCCCTCAGGGTAAATAGACAGGCCATCTCACTGTGACAGAATGTAATACAGGTACATTCTTAAGGATGATGATTGACATAAGCCCTATGCATGTGCTTATCAATGATGAATAAAACATTTTTAACTGTGTTTATACTACATACTAATGTGTATTCATGCGTTATAAATGATAATTTCATTATTAATTCATGCTTAACTAATGCTTAATAGTGTGTACTCATTATAAAGTGTTACCAACAAGGGTAATAATAAATGTTAAACTTCTTGATAAATAACGTCAACATTAACAACAATTAACATATAAAAACAATTTCTTTTTATATGTTTTGGGAGCTCCTAAAATTGGAAATTGTCTTTGTAACAGTGCCAGCAGCTACTTGAGAGGTGTCTGCTACAGGACCCCAGACTTATCTCTGATTCCTTGTCCATCACAAATGTCCCTCCACCTGGTCCTCCTAGCCAGACCTCAAACCAGCTTGGATGGGGCCGTTGAACGAGGGGCAGTGCAGTTTTAGCTAGTAGTTTTATGAACTGAACTTTTGACCTCCTGATCTGCTGGGGGGAGAGAAAGTACAGAACAAATACAATGTAAACCAGGTCATTGAACTAGTTTGAACAGAAGATATGGATTGATGGTGGTGGTAGTAGTATTTTACTCCTCTGTTTTTTCTTTAACCCTTCCATACTGTTTGGGTCAGATTTGACCCGTATCTATTGAAATGCATTTTAGTGTGGATCAAATCAAGGAAAATAGGTTTGGTTGGTTAAATGTATGTGTGTGTGTGTGTGTGTGTGTGTGTGTGTGTGTGTGTGTGTGTGTGTGTGTGTGTGTGTGTGTGTTTGTGTGTGTGTGGACATGTAATGGTGTATCAACAGTCACTTACTGCATAACCTTTAATAATTACTGATAATAGTGCAGTTACACAATGGGTCGCTCCAGGTTACAAAAAGCCAGTTTGGGGAGTCCTATATCCTTGACAACCTGTTAAACTTCTTTAATTTTTCAGGGGCGTGAGGGAGACGAACCTGCATAAAAAGAGACAGGAAGATGCACATAGCAAGCACATCAGGCAGAGAGTTGAAACATCCAGAAGGGATTATCACCGACCTCCATCTGCAAAGCTTCATCTCCCTGCTGCTCCAGCCACCCTCCAGAAGGTAAGACAAGCTGCACACTCTCCCTCTCTGCCTGGCTTCATGTGGACGATGCTTATTCACTTAAATAAGCAAGATGACTGCAGATCTTTAGACTCACTCTGGTTCTATAAAGATGCATCATGGTTCCTCAGTTTATTAACAGGAATATTCAGAACCCACTTTTAATATGCAATTTAAAATACACTTGAAATGATCGCTGTATGTATTTGTATGGTATGGTACACAAATAATTACATTATCGTGTGAACTGTGTCTCTCCCAGCTCTGTGACAGTTTACTGTTGGGACTCCATCATGGCAAATCCTCGTGCACTGCTTCTCCTGCTGGCAGGTAAGCAGCAGCCACTGAAAAGACCTTTACAATAAAAGCTTTATTTTTAAGGCATTTGATGACTAGCCTTATTTTAAAAATGTAGTGGGCTCTACAGGAGATTTAATTTTCCACATTTCTTTCCAAAATCATTTTAAAAAAGAACTTCCTCATTACAGTGTGACGGTGTGGGTTCAAAAGTGAGATGCGCCTTCAGATTTGTCTAGAATGATCAAATTTCCAATACAGAATTTACCTGAATAATGCATTTTGAAACATATGCTCATCCATGAAATCAATACAAATGAATACGAGGGCACATCAACATTTCACCATTTAATCAGCATAAGTAAGGTACAGTAATTTAGTTTCACACACTGAAGACATTTTTTAGTAGATTTAGTTAATTGCTCCACTTGATGATGAGGGCCTTAACCTTTAAGTTCTCCCATTTGTCATTGCGTTGAGAAATGCCATTCTAAGTCAGAGCCGTGACTTGTGAATGAAAAGAAAGAAAGCTTGATTATTGTATGATGTTTATCATTTCTTTTTCCTTCAAATTCACTCTGTAGTCGCTGCAAGCCAGGTCGACCTTTCTCTGTCCCAATCACTTAATGCTTCTGTGGAAGTGGACATCAGCAACTGTTCCATTAGTTTTTATGGACGTACATACTCAGTAATTGAGGTGAGTAAAATGAAACCATGTCTGAGAAAAGGCTTGTCTCTCATTTTCTTGCTGAGAGTTAAACAAGAAGTTTGGTATCACTCATGTCTGTGCAGTAAATATGAAGCTACAGCAGCAGTCGGCAGTGGTAAAAGTACTCAGATCTTTTATTTAAGTAAAAGTAATAATACCACAGTGTAGAAATACACTTATACAAGTAATGGTCCTGCATTCAGAAGTATTAGGATTTAAATATACTTTACAATTTGCTTATCTTAATATAAAGACTGAAAACTTAAGTCTCAAACAAACAATATTTTAATAGTTCCTATATAGTATGAACAAAGGGATTCTTCCCTGTAAATCCTTGTCATTTCACAATATTATTTATTTTATATTATTATAATTATAAGTTTGGCAGTTAGTAGAATTCATTCATTAGAGGCTAGTGTAACATCAATTCTTTTAGTCCATCTGAACATGAAACACAAATAAATATGGAATATATTGGATAATTAAATCTGAAAAATAATAACAATATCAAATACAAATAAATGATGGAGATTTGTTATGGAACTATTGCCCACAAATCTCCAAATTTCCCACCAAGTCACCTTGAACCTTTCTCTTCTCTCCAATGCAAAACTGCTTCCGTCTATTCTGTACTTTATGTATGACACCTTTTTGGACTGATGAGAAACTGATCTGATGTGGTTATTGACTTGCACTAATTGTACTATTAATGTAATAATCCATATATGGTGTCTCTCTCTTTTGCAGGTGTCGAAAAATCTAACCAATCGTGCAATTTGTTTCAAACATAACTCCTCTGACATCGCACAGGACTGTCTTTGGACTTACAATATTGACCAAACAGACAGAATAACTGTGCAATTACTAAATGAATCAACACCTGTTGACCTGCCAAACTTCAAGTCCAACATTTCCAAATGCTTTGTTTCCATTGTGTTCAAAGCTAATGACACCAATTATGTGAGTCATCATCAGTTCCATGTTTTTCATTGTTAATGTTGTTCTTTTAAACAAAATCAACATTTCAATTGTGACATTGTGTGGCAAAGGGAACTTCAAAGTTTATATCTGAAATATTATTCACATCATAAATGTCCTCATATTTTCTGTATCTTGTCTGTTTTTGATTTCAGGTTAGTGTTTCTTTTTACAATGTTGGAGCACAAACAGCTGTGAAATTCTCTGCGATGAAAGGCTTTAAAAATCCATCTGTTGTAAGTATATGTAAAACAAACCTTTGGTCTCAGATATGAATCTGTGTTTGTTACCATGGCAACCTATGTCATTTAACCAATCTGTTTTTATGGGAAGTTGACTTAATCCCAACTGGCTGTGATTTCAGACTTCAGTTCATAGAATCTCATCCCTGAGAGCAGACTCAGTTTGTTCCTCTTGTGTATTACCTTCACAGTTGACCCAAGTATTCAACTTTCCTAAAAACGAGCCCAGAGGTCATTTAACAAGAATCCTCAGACTCCTCTAAACTACACACCTGTTGCTAAACCTTTTATGATCCGTTTCAGTGAAATATATTGATGTTTCTTTCTAAGAACAAATAGACATGTCATTTCTGCCTCTGAAAACTTACAAGGTTAAAAGGTCTTTTTTTGTTGTGCAGTGCTGGAAATACCTTCAGAACTGCAGAACCTTTAACCTTCTAGGTTTTCTAAGGTTGCTAGATAATTATTGTAAAGACTAGAATCTAATAGTAATAATGGTAATATATGAGAGGTACAAACTTGGGTATCCTGAGAGATTATAAGCAATTCAAGGATTTTATTGCCTTTAATGGATAGTGACAGCTGTAGAGTGATAGGAAAGGGTGGAGAGAGGGGATAACACGCAGCAAAGGGCCACAGTTTAGAGTCGAATCCATGGCCGCTTCAGCAAGGACTCAGCTTTGGTACATGGGGCGCCAGCTCTATCAGGTGAGCCACCAGGGTGCTTTCTGGTCATATGTCCACTGACTCATCTGATGCTTAGGTCACAACTGCTCTCATTGTCCTACTGAACTGTCCTAAAATTGGGAGAAAATTAATTATGCACATATAAAAAGGTGGACTCACAGTGTAGCACAGTGTAACATTGTTAACCTTGATTTTTGTTTTCCTTTTCTAGGTCATGGAAACAAAAAACGGTAACACCGCACTGAGCCGACAATCTGTTCCAACTGCTTCTGCTGTCAATGTTGACTGGGACATAAGCGGATGCAGAGTCGCAGGTAGGCGAATCCGGTGATTCACAAAGAGGGCTCTAGGACTTCTCAGGGATCCTCAAAACAAAATTGTGAATCTCCGTTATAATTGCTTTTTTTCCCTGTCATTGCGGTACACTTGTTGATGTTTAATGCTAAACTAATTTCATAACCCTTCTATCACCTCCCAGATGTTGCTCATGTGGCCAATTCAACGATTAGGTTGGTCGCAGAAAACTGCACTACACACGTGTGTGATGTCTCTGCTGACATCCAAACTGTCAGTACATGTGGATCCAAGATTTGCCTGGGCAACAACACGTAAATATGTTTGCTTTATATTTGGAATAAAGTTTGAATAAAGGTTCAGCCTACTGATTTAAATGAAGTGAACCCTCTGGACTAAAAGGCACTTGTGTTCAACGAAGACTTGATGAGAAAGTTCTAATATTTTTCAGATTAGGGCTGCAACTAACAATTATTTTCGTTACTGAATAATCTGTTTTATGTTTCTAAAAAATGAAATAAAAAAATCAACTCATTAATCGTTCAGTCTATAGAACTTAAAAGTGTTCTCCAACGATTTAGCATTGCACTTCAATAACATGAAAGAGACAAGCAGTAAAGTCTTGAACTGAGGTTGCAATACAGCTTTTTTCTTGCTAAGACTGTCTCACAATGTGTGTGTGACGTTGTACAGTTTTGCTTTATTCCAAGGTCACTGAGTGATTTGTCATTGTGACAACAGCACTGCCCACTTATGGACAGCTTTAGAAGGCTCCATGCAAGTGTTTGCCTTGGCTGAATAGTACTCCCCATTATGAGAAAACTGACCTGTAATATTGGTGGAGAACCCTTTTGAGTTTCAGTAAGGATTAATTTTTCTCCAACTTATATTGACTGGAAGTGATGTCTTCATAGGATAAAACATCTTTTTTCTCATTGTGGTCTTTGGATTTTTCTCTCAAAAATAAAAGACAGAATATCTGTCCCTCTCCATCTCCACCAGGTGTGCTAAACCCCCTGCCGTGTGCACTGTGACTGGCTCCACTGTCATCGATTTTTCCAGCAGCATCCACTCTGTTCCTGATCGCTGTGTATACAGTCTGATTAAGCCTCAAGGAAGCTCTGCCTACAACATATTGGCAGGTTTCCTTGAGCGACGCCGTCAAGATGTGGTGTTTTTGGACCACTTGATACTGTCACTGAATGGGTCAAGTGTAAAAATCTATCTGGAGCAAGGTGGAAGAGTTCGGGTAAGCTGCCACAATCCATCTAAATCCACCTAACAGTGTATTTATGGGCTTGTTTCCACCTTCAGCCCTCTTTGTTTGATCAATTTGATGACCATTATTATCTCAATATCACAATATATTGTAATGATATTTACTTATTGGTAGCAGGATGATTTTTATTTTCATTAATTATTTAGCTAATGTTCATTAGCTTTGGCACCTTTCAGAAAACAAATATTTACTTGTTATTATTAATTAATTCAGACTTTTATCTACTTTTTAGAAATGTTTTTTACTCCTTATGACTAGTAACTATACAGTAGCTGTCAATATATTTTTTATTAAAACTTTATATGAAGAGATGATTAATGATGGCATGCAGTGTGTGTATGCACACTGTCGTTCTGGCCTGTGTACTGCAGCTGTGGGTGTACAAATTGTTGTTATTTCTAATGAACTTTTGATTAATTCATGTTTTATCGAGCCACACAAATAAAACAGTTACTGCCAAAATTCTGCGCAGCCATTCGTTCAGAAACCTTACAGTACAATTACAATTAGATGTCAGCCATTACTGTCCTTTACTGAGTGTTGCTGTAAAAGATCTTTCTTTAAGTGGGAACAAGCACACACGCAAAGCACATGTATGTGTATTTGTAATGTTTCAGCCTGTGTTCACTTTGTTCAACTTCATTTTGCCTATCTGCCATGATTTAGGTTGATAACCAAACACTAACGCTCAACACCACGGGTCAGCTGGTTCACGGTGTGGAGCTCTCCAAGAACCAGACTGTGGTTACTGCCAAGATACCTTTTGCCAACCTGACAGTCTTTTTTGATGGCAACACTGCACATGTGGCAGGTACATCAAACGAAATCCTATTTGGAGAAAATATTTGTGCCACAATTTTAATTTTCATTAATTATTAAGCTAATGTTCATTAGCTTTGGCAGCTTTCAGGAAACAAATATTTACTTGTTATTATTAATTAATTCAGATATTTATCTACTTTTAAGTATTACTATTTACTCCTTATGACTAGTAACTATACAGTAGCTGTCAATGTATTTTTTATTAACATTTTATCTGAAGAGATGATTAATGATGGCTTACCTTCTTCAAGGCTGATCTTGTTTGAGTTTAAGATTGACAGCTGTTGTTGAAAGTTCATTGATTTGTCCACCAGGGGATATACAGGCTGTGGAGGGTTTGTGTGGCAACCCCACTAATTCCAGCGAGAACAGCACCCTGAGTGCAGCCAAGTCCTCTAATTACAGTGCAGCCAGGTACGACTCCAACCAAACTGATATTACCAGTTTATTTATGTTGCATGGGTTTCAAATTGAATGTACTGTTGTGTTTGTCACCCAACAGCTGTGAGATTCACCACAACGACACCACTAACAGTACGATCAACTGCAACCGCACAACTGAACAGTAAGAACTGATCCAGCAAAACACACTAAACACTCCTGTCATCTTTAAAACAGGAACAAGCCATCTTTATCATATGTTCTTATGGACCCATAACTCTGTCATATGACCAGGAATGATTGTGGAAGCTAAACACACACAACTGGTAATTAACTCTCATTCTCCCTCACTGCATTGCTGGAACAGCTGCAATCTCATGAAGCAGGCACCTTTCACTGCTTGCCACAGCCATGCTGACCCAGAGCCCTTCATAACCGCTTGCATAAACACTTTGTGCAAATACCCAGCGGTGGACGGTGTCGGCTGCCAGTTTTTTGAAGCTTACGCCAAGTCCTGCAGCCTGAAACAATACATCACATGGGAGGACTGGAGGTCAAACACCAACTGCTGTAAGATCATCATTTCACTGTTTTATACGATGAAGATGGGATTAGACAAATTAAAGGTCCAGTGTGTAACATTTAGGAGGATTAATTGTCAGAAATGTAATATAATATTCATAGTTGTGGTTGTTTCAGACAAAATAAAATTCTATTGATTTCTGCCTGCTATTCCAGGCTTGAAATAAATATGGCAGTTTGATCAGAAAAACTCTGCACTAGAACAAATTCTCCCAAAAATACACATAGTAAAAGTATTCTTGTCCAGAATGTATAATCATTATTTGTCTGCTGCAACAGCTCAATTTGCTGTGAGCTGGAATGAGCTAGATACATGAAACTGCACCTGTGCTTCCCAAGAAACATGAGCCAAATCGTCCCAATGGTGGTGCTGTAAGGCCAGTCAACACCAAAATGGGTATACAGCATGGTTGGACTAAGATACATATTTCTATCATAAATGAGCAAGATCGGTCAAAAAACATGGCTGCCATTAATCAAAACATGGTCGTGAAAGGCGGGGCTTGGCCATAACTCATTATCCATTTGTCCAATCATAAGAAGATTGGTAGATGTCTTCAGACCGTGATTACAAAGAAGTCTACTCAGAAATTTTGGTATGCGTGGTCTGGGGGCAAGTATTATCTAAAATCTGAAGGGACATATTTATTAGTGGAAGTGGTTGTGGCCATATCCCATATTTGTTCATAACTCAAAATGCCTGTGAGCAATCCTAATACAACTCACTGCAGACATCCCAGTCTATGTCCTGGTCTTACCTACCAAGTTTCATTCAGTATTGATAAAGAGGGGCCAGATGATGGAACTTTGGGTGCACTGTTATTAAAGTGTCTGATTGGTCTCACTCCTTCTCTTAACAGAATTATAGTGACTCTACTTGCCATTGTCAAGCTTTCATTTTGAGCCACTTATTTCCGTTGAGCAAACTCGTTGCTGCTTGTGGATATATTCTTTATCTGAAAATTAGTTGTATACCGTAGCTGTCAAACAAATACAGTGGAATAAAAATAGAAGAATGTCGAGTATAAAGGAGGAGAACATAAAATACTGTTCCACTGTTCCATGACCAGTGGACTTTTTTCTGTCCAGTAAAAACTACATCACAAAATGTGTTTACACATACAATAAACAAATGGGCTTTTTAATGTCATTTTCATGTCATTCATCTTTCATTTGATACTGAGCCTCATCTGCATGTGTCTGTCTGCAGCTGCTGCCCCCCCCTGTCAGGACCAGTACTGCAGTGCTCATGAGTTCTGCGGTGAGCAGCACGGTGAATCCCGCTGCTTCTGTCGGGCCATTTTCGCCTCCAAGTACAGATCAACAGACACTTTAGGTACTGTGCAACAAGTGTGGCATGAAAAACAACAAGGTGAAAGGTTGTCATGTCTCTTCATAGGGAGAATTGGTTCAGACTACCTTTAGCATTCCACCAAATCATCACGATGATAAAATCACATGATTCCCTCCCTCCTGACCACAGCTACTAACTTATTATTTTATTTATTTTTATTTGTATAGGGTTGGCATTTGTTTATTGCTGCATTTTCTAGCTTTGATCTTGTTATGAGAAGATTTACATTAATTATTGTTCACTGTAATGAGGCAAAAAATTCAACAAATTCTTAAGTAACACAAACTCAATTAAGAAAAAGATTCTTAATTCAGCAGCTTATACTAGTAATTTTAAGTGACACCAACTTAACTATGTAAATTACAGAAACATTCCTGATAAGTATTTTTGACTAAGTATTTTCTTTTCACAGTACAAGTAAAGATTAGCAAACAAAGTCAGTGTGACTTAAAATTACTAACTTGATCAAGAATGTTTAACTTTCAAAATTGAGTTAGTTTTGTTTGCGTTCAGGTGAGCCGACAGTCTGCACGCAGAACTCTGCCACTCTTACTCTGGCCGGTTGTCTGATGGAGGAGAAAAACATCGACTACTCCACCTTACACCTCAGGGACCAGAACTGCACAGGCCGCATTAACAATGAGACCCACATGGTGACTTTCAGCTTCGACAGCATCAACACCTGCGGGGCGGAGGTTCTGGTGGGTACTCTCCTCTAGTTGGTTTGCTCTCAGCAAGCCCAAAAGTTGTTTTTGCTGATCACTTCAGACTCAAGTCTCAGCCATGCACGCCTTATATTGGTGCTTTCAGGACAGGTTGGTCTTCCTAGAGCCTTCATTTGGCAGGTGAGTGACAAGGAGGATTTCAAAGCCACATTCACTGATTTGTTTGCCACTTGGATGGAGCAGAACAAGATGACAACACAACTGCTGACTCATCATCACTTTATGAAGTTATTGTGAATGTGTGTCAGTCTGTAGTCTGTTTACACCTGCAGCAGACACAAAAGAGCTGAACAAGTTTTATCCACAAATTTTGCCTCTGTGGGATTGATGTAAGGGGAGGCACATACTGTAAACTCACCTGGTTTTAACTGGTTTAATAGTGAGAGGACATTTTCCACAGGGTCCCTTTAATTTATTTATTATTTATAGAAAGACACGTGAATTACAATCAGGACGATAAAGAGAAGGACTCTAAACCATGTTGTATCTTGCTTTTTTTAAATGTCACAGGTTAATATGGGAAGAATTTGACTGCTGTGATTAAATGAACTCATTAGGTTTTATTCACCTGAAAACATTTCTGTATTCCTTTTAAAGAACAACAATAGCCAAGTCATCTACCAGAACACCGTCATGTTGAGGAACATCTCCGACATCATCACCCGCTACGACCAAGTAAATATCGACTTCTCCTGCTACTACACCAAGCCGGAAGTCAAGAGTGTGTCCTTCAAGATCAAAGACAGGTGTGTGGAGGCCGGCTGAGCTTCACCTGGTTGTTAATGTGCCGACTGAAGCTTGTTGTGGTTAAAGTTCAAGACAGCTGAAGTTTGTGTGTGTGTGTCTCTCCAGCTCTGTGGTGACGCAGATTGTATCTGGAATTTGGAATTACACTGTGATGATGAACACCTACACTGACTCCAGCCGCATGCACCTTGTCAAGTCAGACACTGAGGTTGCACTGAACCAGAAGATCTGGGTGGAGCTGAAGACGGCTGGGCTGGACGCCAAAATGGTTGCTGTGGTGACCGACTCCTGCTGGGCAAGCAACAGCCCGTCACCTAATGCGACTGTGCGATACGACCTTATTAAAAACAAGTGAGAAAAAAAATCTAAACTGTGATTTTGTTAGTGTCCTTACTGCTTACTGCTGATGATGTCATCATGTCTGTTTCCTGTTTCTGAGCAGATGCCCGAACCCCGTTGACCAGACGGTAAAGGTGGAGGGAAATGGAAACGGATTGTCCAATTTCTTCTCTTTCAACATGTTCCAGTTCTCTGGGGGTAACGGCCAAGTTTACCTGCACTGCAAACTGGAGCTGTGCCTCATACAGGGCAACAACTGTACTGTGGTAAGCAGGGCTGAAGGAAAGACTGAAGTAAAGTAACAGTGTAAAAAAACTCCGTTACAAGTCTCTTACGCAGGACTTCAGCGAATTAAAAGTACTCATTATGCTGAATGGTTGTTTTATACAGTATATTATAAGATTACTTTCACTGATGCATTCATATTTGAGCAGCATTGTTGTTGTAGTTGCAGCTGAGTACCAGCTGAGTATCAACTCGTTTAAATAGATCATAAAAAAGAATAATTATAATGTCTTAAAATAAAGAAATGTGCAGGTTGTAGGAAAAAAAAAAAATCAATGCTATCACTACATAATGCCAAAGAGATACTGTACTTTTATACTGCACTGACCTTCCAAAAGGTGACACAGTCTATGCCTAAAATCTAACCATCCTCTCTGTCTCACAGAGCTGCAGCGGAGGTGGTAGCAGGAAGCGCAGATCTTCCAGGTCCAAGTATGCTGAAGAAAACCAAGCCCTCATCACTATGACCTGGAGTAATTAGGTAAAGACAGCTCCCCTTTGGATCAATTACATGGTTCTTTATTAAGTGATATGGAGTAAACGTCTGGTTTTAAGTGTGTCTCTAGAATGAATTTTGCTCTTCTCTCAGAATGAATAAGTGCCCTGCATGAATGTTCCAATATGTTAAGACTTAAACTCCCAAACTATTAAAGAGGGCTCCTGAGGAGGAGGACTCACACTTTCCTTAATTCAATTCGTTTTTTATTGATGAAAGTGTTGTTTAAGTCAGAATTCATTTTATCATACTGATGATTTATCTTTTCTTTGAGCTAAAAATTGTAAGTTTGTCCTGCTGTGTCAGTAGCAGGAATGTGAATCTTAAATCAGATTTGGATGTTTTCAGAGACAAAGTATAAATCATAACTAATCCCAGTTTTGTCCTGTTGTCTTCTCAAACAGATTCCTGACTTAAACCTCAGCCTCTATAAGGAGCCGGAAATCTTACTGGATCTGAAGAATGTTTAAAAAGATGTTGGAAATTCTTTAGTTGTTGTAGCTGTATTGTAGCTGTTCAGGTTGGTTAATTCACTTTGGGGTTATTGTCAATATGTATTTTTAGTGGTCTTTTAAAGGATTTAGTGGCATCTAGCAGTGAAGTTTCTCTTCAACTCTTGCAACTAACTGAACACCAAATGGGCTGTGACTCCACTGTAGATAAACACACTTTATTCCATGGTAACGAAAACACAATGATTCTTATTTTCAGGTGAATATACACTCATTATTTCTGCAGAATTTTTGATGATTAAATTGAATGAATGAATAATAACTAATTTTGAGAATAGTTAGGATGTGTGTAATGAAGACGAATAATCAGAAGTTTGTCAGGCTCAGAAGATGCGAACACCACATTAAAATGGAGAATATTTGATTGTAGTGTTACTATAAATGAAGATTGGCTGTACACGTGACATTCTGTTGTACCATTATTATGTAATTATTGTTATCTGACAAAAAAAAAAGAAATAAAGGGAGTGGGTAAAAACAAAGAGTTTGAGTCATTGGTTTATGTGTGTTTGCTGCGGTACACATAATGTATATTGTACCAGTATGACTTTAACAAACGAGCTAAAGTGAAAACAATCACATGGAAATACATGGCCTAATGCATCCATCGGTTACAACCATGACATGCTAGCATGTCGGGAAGCGGGCTAAATAACGCTAGAGAGTTAGGCTCAATATGGTGATAGAAAAACTGACACGTCCATTTTCAAAGGGATCGCTTGTCCTCTGACCTCAAGATCTCTAAAAGAAAATGGGTTCAATGACTCAAAAGTCTTTGATGTAAATGAGTTATTTCTAGTGTATTTGAATATTTCTGCACACTGGGGTCCATAAACTGTGTTGGATATGCATGAATTGGGAATGACTGGAAAGCTGAGACACATACTTGATGCCACCCAGTCAGTGCCCCACTCGTGGCATCCCAGTCAAAAAAGTCTGGAAACACCCCTGATTGAAAGAGCAGAGATGACCAAAGAATTTGAAGATGGGGGCTTAAATGCTGTTTGATTTTTTTTATTTTTTTATTCATAAATGGAAGCCAAATAATTGGTTTTGGAACAACGGTACAAAGGTATCATATTCCCAAAGAAATATTTATTGAATTAGGAGGTATAGAATTTTTACTTAAATGTGATTTCACTATTCAAAAACGCCTGATTAAATGTTCCCCTTTTCACCAGTAGATCCTTTTTAATTGAATTTTACCCCACATAACACACCAATATGGAATAATAGGTATATCATAGTTAAAAACAAGTCGTTCTTGAACAAGCACTGGATGAAGAAAGGCATTTGGTCAGTGATTGACTTAGTTGATGGTAGTGGCTCTATCCTGTCATATGAACAGTTTTGCCTTAAATATGATTTAATCGTATCAATCATATATGACTGTATAACAAAAGCCATCCATATTATATGCTTAATCACAGGAATCCTTGTAGCAACGGATAATGTAATAATGGCCAATAATGTAATACCTGCCAATAAGTCATCATATTCATTCATCAAGGGTATGTATTATGCAGCACTCTTGCATATTTAAGGAGAGAGTGCTGCATAATACATACCCTTGATGAATGAATATGACGACTATGCCATTCACTATATCTATTTTTGATGAGCAAACTGCACAAAAACTAAAAAAAAATATTTTATTTCCAAGAAATGCAGTCCTATTTCTATGTATTATTACATTATCGGCTGCAGTTATTACATTTCAAAGGATTTTTTTAATGCTGTGCCAATAACGTAATAACTTATTACATTATTGGCAAAATGTTATTACCTTATTGGCAAGTTATTACGTTATTGGCTTTATTACATTTAAAATGGCCAGAATTATTACGTTATTGGCAGGTATTACATTATCGGTTGCTACAACCCTACTCCTATCATACCTTCTCTCTACATCGTTTAATTGGAGGCTACAATTCCCCAACTCCCAAAATGGAGTGATAGGTGCAGTGAACTGGTGAAAAAAAAAATTGGATTTTATAATTGCAATTCAATAATTGCGTATATTGTGATGAAACCCCTTCTACGGAAGCCCTAAAGGGCCATGCATTCATACATTTTATTTCCTCCGTTTTCCCATGATAACGAGTTAATTAATTCGAGATCTCGAGATAACGACTGTGATATGATAACTGCGGTCATGCCAGCCGTTACTCTGATCTCCGTGGTCAAATCAGCCACACTTCAAATTACAGCGTATTCACTTCCGGTTTTCAAAATAAAGGTATTTAGAACAGTAAGCTATAATTCGAACCTACATTTAAAATAAAATATGTTACATTAAAGTGTTTCATGCACCCATGATGAATAAAAAACATACTTAATATCAAGCATTTCTACTGCAACAATGTGGAGAAATGCCAAAACAAAATTGATGTAACATATTGTATTTTAAATGTAGGTTGGAATTATAGCTTACTGTTACCGGAAGTGAATACGCTGTAAATTGAAGTGTGGCTGATTTGACCACGGAGATCGGAGTAACGGCTGGCTATCAAGGGAAAACTACGGTGGCCCTGAGGTGCAAATCACAACAGCAAATCAGAAAACACAACACAAAAAGAGAAAACACAACCGCAAATCAGAAAACACGACACAAAAAGAGAAAACACGACACAAAAAGAGAAAACACAACACAAAAAGAGAAAACACAACGGCAAATCAGAAAACACAACGACATTAACCAAACCGGAAAAGGTAGGTACCCTCGGGCGACATGAGTCGTCGCGTATCGGACAAAAGAACTGGTCCGTCCTTTGAACCAGAAACACAACACCGCCAGACCTATGCGTTCAAGTTGCCAAATCTGAAAATTCAAACCACTAAATAAGGAAAATATTGTATTAATACGTCCGTGTTAATGTGGGATACCTAAGAGAGGTAGAAACAGGGGTTCCAATAGTCCATATCTATGTGTTTTCTGATTTGCCGTTGTGTTTTCTCTTTTTGTGTTGTGTTTTCTCTTTTGTTGTTTTTTTTTTTTTGTTTTCTTTTGTGTTGTGTTTTCTGATTTGCCGTTGTGTTTTTTCTCTTTTTGTGTCGTGTTTTCTGATTTGCCTTTTTGTGTTGTGTTTTCTCTTTTGTCGTGTTTTCTCTTTTTGTGTCGTGTTTTCTGATTGCATTTGCCTTTTGTTGTGTTTTCTCTTTTTTTTGTGTTGTGTTTTCTGATTTGCCGTTGTGTTTTTTTTTCTTTTTGTGGTTTTCTTTCTCTTTTGTGTTGTTTTCTCTTTTTGTGTTGTTTTCTCTTTTTGTGTCGTGTTTTCTCTTTTTGTGTCGTGTTTTCTCTTTTTGTGTCGTGTTTTCTGATTTGCCGTTGTGTTTTCTCTTTTTGTGTTGTGTTTTCTGATTTGTCGTTGTGTTTTCTCTTTTGTCGTTGTGTTTTCTGATTTGCCGTTGTGATTTGCACCTCAGGGCCACCGTAGAAAACGGAGGAAATAAAATGTATGAAAACATGGCCCTTTAGGGCTTCCGTATTACGCTGAAATCACTGATATTATTTATTTTTTATATTTTTTTCAATGTATATATTCTGAAGCCTTTTGGCTGGATACACACGACTAGCTCTACGAAAAAGTTTCTTAACTTGATATTTTCATTGTTCATGGATTTGTTTATGGACAACAGCAAAAATTACTTCCAGGTGTTTTTTTTTATTATCAAAGCAAAATGCAGTAAACTTTTTAGTAGAAGAATATGAGTTAAAAAGGATCTAGCCCTCTATGTACTTTCCCTCTTTATTTTATTTTGTGTATTAGTGTCGTATATATGCTTTAGTTTGTTCTCTGAGACTCTGAGTGCCTTTTTATCCATCTCATTTTATTACATATGAGATATGTTTAAGGTAATGCTGTACATGAATATTTGTTTAATGAAAATAAACTCAGTCTCCAGGAAGAGCACCAGGTTTTAAAGCCAATTAGGCCAATAACTACCTCCACCAATCAGAGACGTCGCTGAAACACTTTAGGATTGTGGGTACTGTAGTACTCCTTTGTGAGCTCGCAAATTTTCTTTACGGTCTTGTGACTCCCTACAGACACATATACCGTATGTCAACGTCTCACTTACACATATATATATTTACTGACTATATGTCGCCTTGGGCTTCTAAGAATACGTCAAAACCGCCGCCATCTTGGAGCGGGGATCAGAAGCGCCAAATTAGTTTTCCCGCATTCACATCAGCTCTAAGGATGCAGGACTGTTGTGCTGCTTATGGATGTACGAACAAAAGAAATGAAAAAACCAAACAACAAGGGATAATATTTCACAGGTAATAATGTGTTTTATGATATTGAATGTTACGAAAGTATATTTCTGGTGATGAAATTATATTGTTTCAGTCTCATGTTTCAGTATATATAGTTATCTATGGTTGGTTCGGTGACGTTTTCAAAATAAAAGCACGACCGTCAAAAAGGTACTGCATGAAATATTGAGCTGTGAAGCCTTTAGGTCTTTTTTTTTTTAGATTGTCATTAGATATGAGTATAATACAGGTGTAAAAGCAAATACACATACTATTAAGTGGAAGAATAATAAACCTACGCCTACTAGTACTAGGCATTACATTTTGAAGTAGATTATATTAATATCAAACGCTTAAATTTTCTCTGGACTCGATCATAAATACATGTCTGTCAGTTGGAACTAAAAAAGATCCCCGCTGCAAGATGGCGTCTCTATTGACGGATTCGTTCCAATGAACAGCAGTAGTCAAGGCAACATCTAGTCAGTAAATATATACATAGACATATATATTATGTCTATATATATATATATATATATATATGTCACTTACATGAGTACCGGATATACACTGGCTGCCCACTTGCCGTCACGTGAGGAAGTTTAACCCGAGAGGCTTCCACTATTGGCTGAGAGGAGCACGAGTGCTTTCCTATTGGTCCATCCCTCTGGCTTTTTATGTCTACATCATCAGAGCCGGTCTGCGTTGTTGTTTACATCTGTTTGTATTTGCATGGCCAGATGTGCTCTCCGTTTGTGGACAGTTAGCTGGACGTTAATGATGGAGCTGTTCGCTGCTTTACGTACTGCGGTGGATTTCACATTACACGTAACGTTACGGAGAATGGGCATTCAAGAGGTTTCTGTGTAATCTTAAGGTCACTGTCACTGTTAATGGGCTTTCAACCGTTTTTCAACAATATCCTTAAATTAACGTTTCACCTGACAGAAAGCTGAGACACAACATCTCGCTGATGTTTCATATTTGTATTAGCTAACGTTAGCTAGTGATTTGAATGTAATGTAAAGGCAGAAATGCGGTAGTAGAAACCCTTTTTGTCGCCTGGTGCGATCCTGTTTCGGTTTTCTTTCCTCCTCCTGGCTTTGGCACGTCTGTCACCTGATTAACTTACAAGAGGAAATTGACACCGAAATGGAAGGCTGTATCTTTTTGTTCTACCTCACGCAGGAGCTACATATAACTTTCTGAACGGACAAACCTGACGATAAGTTGATGATTTAAAGGGAGTGACATGTGAAAAAGGGAACCGAGAATAGGTGTGTCGTCATTCAGCTTCAACTTCTCCCAAAGTGGAGAAAACTCGTCAAACTTTAGCTGACTTATTGCACTTATTTTAGCACTGTCAGTGTAGCTTATGAAGGCGCGTGTCGTGTAAACAGTCTCCCACGAGCCATCATGGCAGACACACAGAGGTCTCTGCCAGCCCTCAGGAGGCTCAGCTATGCGGTGGGACACTTTCTGAACGACCTGTGTGCCTCCATGTGGTTCACATACCTACTGGTGTTCTACCACTCAGTGCTGGGATTCCAAAACGAATATGCAGGTTAGTCTATCTATCTATCTATCTATCTATCTATCTATCTATCTATCTTTGTATTAACATCTGGACAACGTCTGCTGTCCTATACAGTAACCCTGCCTATAATGTTTTAACCCATTAATGGAAGTGGAATTGAACTATTTCCTTTACAGCACTTAAAGTACCAGCTGAGCTAATTACAATTCCACTGAAGTTTTTTAAAAAGTTAAAAGGTTAAGAACTTCCGATCTTTATATCTTGATAGATACTTTTTCTGGACTGTTACAATATAAAGAAAAATGATTATCTGTTGCTTTTTCTTGATCCAGTATTTCCATTGTGCAGACCTTAATGTATTGCAATGGGATTAAATGAGTAACCCCTTGTGACTAACAACAGAATATAGTATGATACAGAGATGGCTGTATGCCTGTTCCCATTGGATTCAGAACATCTAGAGCTTCAATAATATGTGCCTTGATCCAATATAAATCTGATATTACCATGTTAAATACATGTTAAATTGATTGTGCCTGTGCTGTAGGTGTGCTGCTGCTAGTTGGGCAGATAGCTGATGCTATCTGTACGCCTCTCATTGGTTACGAGTCTGACCGAACCCCTGGCTGTGGCAACTATGGCAAGAGGAAGACGTGGCATTTAGTTGGTAAGTCAACTAGACAGACAGACAGACAGGTAGATAGTATTACAGTGTGGCTTTACTTTACTGCTCCACAAGACTTAGAAATGATTTACCCCTCAACAATAAAGTGTACACTCAAAAAAACTGCAGTCCACATCCAGATTTCTTTAATGTAGTACAGTAAAATAAAAATTCCGAGTCTAAACCATTTATACATGGGGATATAGGTTAAAACTTTACTACACACTCATATTTATATAACTTTTACATACATACTGCTAGAATCTTGCAGCCCAACAGTGGGTGGGAAAGGGTTAATCAGTAAGAAACCAGTCCAGTTGTCCAGTCTTGAAGCTGGTCCCTTCAGCTGTTATGTGCATGTTCTCATAAAGGGTATTCATGTAACTTTTTATGAAACTGCTGTTTGGACTATGCTCCCATACTGAACACTAAACATATATTTTATTGATCCTGTTCAGGTCAAACGGTGTTTTACAAGAGTCTATAATGACAGCTAAGTGTATGGGCTGGCAGTAGCTCTGTCCAGAGGGTCATCTTTTCAAGTCTAGCATGGGCCACACTGTAGAGTGTGGACTGGTAGAGGTGTCAGTTCACCTCCTGGGCCGAGGTATCATTGTGCAAAGCACTGAACCTCTAACTGCTCACGGGGCAGCCCATCACTCCACCACCTCTCCACACTACAGGGCTTTGTAACAAGGGTAACATAGCAGCTAAACATTGCCAAGTTATCAGAGAAACAAGCTGAGCTAACGTTAGCAGCAGTTCGGCTCGCAGCCCCTCCGGGACGTCCTTTGTCTTCCAACAGCGTGGGAGAAGCAGTGATTTTTAAAGGTGGAACTACTTTATTCAGTGTTTTTAGTGGTTTTAATCATTTTGTTTTGGAGAGGAGGAGAGCTCTGTGGATAACTGGGCTCCCGGTAGAAACCTCTTGACTGCAATGACAGCAATGGTGGTGAAGACACCAACTCCCATGATCCCATGCTACTTCACAACATTATCAAACTTCATCTTTTGTTAATGTTTTGATGCGAAAGACGCCCTAGCAACAGCAATGCCATGTTATTTGTTTATTTATTAGTCTACAATAAAGTGAAATTTAAGGTGTTAAGGGTTATTTAATCGCTTTTTGTTGCAACGTGGGGTTAAAAATGACAGAAAAGTAAAAAAATAATCTAAATTATTCCTGCAGTGTGATTCAAGTGTTTGAAATTTGGCAAGTTTGAGGACTTCATTGGTGTGTTTTGATTTTTTTTTAGTTTTGGAGCAGAATTTGATTGTGTGTGCATATGATTGAGTTCATCTGTTCATTTGTGTGAATGGGAAGGAATAGTTAGGTGTAACAACACACTCAAAGTCATTTACATGCTGTTTGCGTGTGTGTGTGTGTGTGTGTGTGTGTGTGTGTTTTCTAGGTACACTGAGCGTGCTGCTGTCCTTTTCCTTCGTCTTCAATCAGTGCCTGGGCTGTGACGCTCTCACCCCACAGTGGGCCAGCTTGACCTACTTCTCCCCATTCATTATCGTCTTTCAGTTCGGCTGGGCTGCCACTCAGATCTCCCACCTGTCTCTCATTCCGGAGCTGGTCACCTGTGAGCACGCTAAAGTAGAGCTCACTGCATACAGGTACGTTTTGTACACACAGTACACACAGCGAGGTAATCAGCAGATCCTGAATACACAGTTTCTCCCTTGTGTGCAGGTATGCGTTCACAGTGATAGCTAACATCACAGTGTACGCAGTGGCTTACCTGCTGTTCCACGTCCAGGCCGGGGAGGGCGACGACCCGCTCAGTGATGCTCTCGGACCGGCAGATATCCCCATCTTCAGGGTGAGCTCTAATCACATGACACTTTACAATGTTCAACAGAATAACTTAACATTTTCTTCCTGCAGTAGCCTTTTTTTGGGTTTGTGCCTGTGTGTTAGTTCACTGGTTCAGTAAAACATCCTGCTTGTCTTGAGGAGAGATGTGGCTATGTTTATGCAGATCAGGTGACACTGTTTTCAGTTTTGGTGCTTAAAATGGAATGAAACTGAGCTTGCATTTCTGCGACTTCTTATTGCAAACACAAGTTTAGTCTGTAATGGAAAACAGATCGTTACAAAACATGTTTGATGTACGTCAAGTTTACCTCTTTCAGTTAACTGTGCATTATTTCATTGGGATGTTTATTAAAATGTAATTTGTGTAGGATTTAGTGGCATCTAGCAGTGTAGTTGCAGACTAATTGAACACCTCTGGTGTCTGTATTTGATAACCTGGGAATTAGAACGGGCTGTGAAGTGTTTAGGTGAAACTACAGTGACCAAAAAAAAATAAAGCACAAAAAAGGCCAAAGGCCCAATTACAGCCAGTGTTTGGTTTGTTCCTTCTGGGCTGCTGTAGTAACATGGCATAGTAGACGCCATGGAAGGCGACCCGCTCCCTCTGTAGATATAAACAGCTCATTCTAAGGTAACAAAAACCCAATGATTCATACAGTGCATCCGGAAAGTATTCACAGCGCTTCACTTTTCCCACATTTTGTTATGTTACAGCCTTATTCCAAAATGGTTTAAATTCCATACACAATACCCCATAATGACAACGTGAAAAAAGTTTGTTTGAAATTTTTGCAAATGTATTAAAAATGGAGAACGAAAATATAACATGAGTAAGTAACATAAGTATTAGCAGCCTTTGCTCAATATTTTGTTGATGCACCTTTGGCAGCAATTACAGCCTCAAGTCTTTGAGTACGATGCTACAAACTTGCAAACCTATTTTTGGGCAGTTTCTCCCATTCTTTGCAGTACCTCTCAAGCTCCATCAGGTTGGATGGGGAGCGTCGGTCCAGAGATGTTCAATCGGGTTCAAGTCTGGGCTCTGGCTGGGCCACTCTAGGACATCGAAGCCCCTCCTTTGTTATCTTGGCTGTGTGCCTAAGGCCGTTGTCCTGTTGGAAGATGAACCTTCGCCTCAGTCTAAGATCCAGAGCCCTCTGGAGCAGGTTATTATCAAGGATGTCTCTGTACATTGCTGCATTCATCTTTCCCTTGATCCTGACTAGTCTCCCAGTTCCTGCCGCTGAAAAACATCCCCACAGCATGATGCTGCTACCACCATGCTTCACTGTAGGGATGGTATTGGCCAGGTGATAAGCGGTGCCTGGTGTCCTCCAAACATGACGCTTGGCATTCAGTCCAAAGAGTTCAATCTTTGTCTCATCAGACCAGAGAATTTTTGTTTCTCATGGTCTGAGAGTCCTTGAGGTGCCTTTTGGCAAACTCCAGGCGGGCTGTCATGTGCCAACTGATTTGTGGAGTGCTACAGCGATGGTCATCCTTCTGGAAGGTTCTCCTCTCCACAGAGCAACACTGGACCTCTGTCAGAGTGACCATCTGGTTCTTGGTCACCTATCTTGACTAAAGCCTTTCTCCCCCGATCACTCAGTTTGGCTGGGCGGTCAGCTCTAGGAAGAGTCCTGGTGGTTCCAAACTTCTTCCATTTACGGATGATGGAGGCCACTGTGCTCATTGGGACCCTCAAAGCTGCAGAACTTTTTCTGTCTCCCTCCCCAGATCTGTGCCTCGATACAGTCCTGTCTTGGAGGTCTACAGACAATTCCTTGGACTTCATGGCTTGTTTTGTGCTCTGACATGCACTGTCAACTGTGGGACCTTATGTAGACAGGTGTGTGCCTTTCCAAATCATGTCCAATCAACTGAATTTGCCTAAGGTGGACTCCAATCAAGTTGTAGAAACAGGATGATCAGTGGAAACAGGATGCACCTGAGCTCAATTTTGAGTTTCATGGCAGAGGCTGTAAATACTTCTGTACATGTGATTTTTTTCGTCTGTTATTTTTAACAAATTTGAGAAAAATTTCAATCAAACTTTTTTCACGTTGTCATTATGGGGTATTGTGTGTAGATTTTTGAGGAAAAACATTTTTTTAATCCATTTTGGAATAAGGCTGTAACATAACAAAATGTGGAAAAAGTGAAGTGCTGTGAATACTTTCCGGATGCACTGTATATTTAGGTGATTATACAGTAATAAAAACATACCTATTATATTCCGTTTCTCATACATTTTACACACTGGAGCTTTAATCACAGAGTGTTTGGAATAATATCATCCATGCTGCTTGTTCAGCTGTTATGTACAGATTTCAAGTTTAACATTAAAATGATATGGAGCATGGCAGCCATGTTCACGACTAATCCTGATAGCAAACTATCTGCTGCCTTTAAAAGGGATGAGTACTAATAATATTTTCAGCCTTTGTTACACATCAGTCCTAGCTGTCAGCACCCTCAGTCAGCTGACTGAGTTGGAAGCAGGAAAAGGAAAAGATAAAACTGTAAATAAATAGAATAAACAGGATAAACAAGATAGCCTTCCTTGAACATCCGCCATGCTTAATTTGGTCACACATATGTGCTGAGAGACTGCTGAATTTGTTTTGCAACAAAGACTGCAACATGCATGCAGTCATTGGCTCCGTTCACACTGCAAAGCTTTTCGCTCAGTTAAGATTTTTCCCTCAGGTCTTGTTTTTGTTTGGCTGTTTACATTATTTTTTAAACGTGGCCCATATCATATTCCAGTGTGAACAGATCACAGTCCTGAGGTGACCCAAATGACGAACGTACATCTAGACTGTAGAGTATGCATCACAGTAAGTGTCCATCATATATATACACCAACTCAGCCCCACTGGAAACTAAAGATGGCCTTTCTGGTCCTTTTATGATGTGTGTGTGCTGAAGTTGATCAGATCGACTCTTATCACAAAGAGCACTATTGTTCCTCTTAGCTATTGAATGTGCACACACAGACCACACCCTTCCATTTATGTTGATTGTGGACTTTCATACATATTTCAGCTAGTTCACATTAATGAAAAAGAGAATGGAGTTTTTAATGTGCTTACAGAAGTGTTGTTGCTGTTGATTTAATGGTTCATTCTCATCCACAATGGACATTTTCAACACATTGTTTCCTTAAAGCACAACTCCAGACTTCATATTTAAAGTCGTATTTAGACTTTACATAGATTATTATGTAACTATTTCTCACAGTATTTGCAATGTGTGTGCATGGAACAAATAGAAGTTCACGTCATTATATACAGGAAGCTTAATGACAGGAATATCTGTCTCTCCTTAAATGTAAACATAAAACTTAAATTGGGGTGCAAGGGGAGGTTTTGTGGGCTTTCTGGTCCTGGGTTTTTGCTTTACAAAGCTGCCCTACCCTGATGTAGTGGAGGTTGTTGAGGTGCTTATGCAGCCTGACAGAATCGGTAGATGATACTGAGTGAGATTGCCAGTGATGAAAAAGGTACTAACCCTTTTTTTTTCATGTTAAAAAAAGACGTTTTGATTTACTGTAAATATTTTCTAAAAAGACACTATTATTGCAAATAGAACAACCAATTTAACTAAATTATGAATCAGAATCTCTTTTATTGGCCAGGTATGTGCAAACATATACATATTCAATTCAATTCAATTTTATTTGTATAGCGCCAATTCATAACAGAAGTTATCTCAGGACACTTTTCAAATAGAGCAGGTCTAGACCGAACTCTTTAACATTATTTACAGAGACCCAACAGTACCACCATGAGCAACCACTAGGCGACAAGGGCAAGGAAAAACTGCCTGTTAAAAGGCAGAAACCTAGGACAGATCCTCCGTCTCTAGGTGGGTGGTCGTCTGTCTCGACCAGTTGGGGTGAGAGAGAGAGAGAGAGAGGCAGAGAGAGAGAGAGCGAGAGAGAGAGGCAGAGAGAGCGAGAGACAGACAGACAGACAGACAGGTGCACAGCAACAACAGTATTGGCAATGGCAGTCAAGCAGGACCATGGCAGGAGGCTCCACCAGGATCCATGAGAACCTGCGAGACGAGAAAGCACAAGAACTCCGGGGAAGAAGTGAAGTTAGTAACATGCATTAATGGGACATGAATGAATGCATAAAGAGAGAGGAAGGGAGGAGCTCAGTGCACCATGGGAAATCCCCCGATAGTCTAGGCCTATAGCAGCATAACTAAGGGATGGTTCAGGACTCACCTGATCCAGCCCTAACTATAAGCTTTATCAAAGAGGAATGTCTTAAGCCTACTCTTGAATGTGGTGAGGGTGTCTGCCTCCCGAACCACAACTGGAAGCTGGTTCCACAGGAGAGGAGCTTGGTAACTGAAGGCTCTGGCTCCTGTTCTACTTTTAGAGACTATATATAAACAATGTATATGGTCCTTTTTAAAATAGTGTTTTAGGATAGATAAAATTAAATAAAAAGATCAAATTGAGTTTTAAGAAAAGATTTAAAAGAGAATACTAGTTTGCCTCCTGAGATCTTAAAAGGCCGGGACAGCAAAGGCTCAGCAGTAGTTGAGGATCCAGAGTTTGTCTTTCGATGCTCAGGTGACTTAAACTGGTGCAGTCCTACTTTGTCCCAATAAGACTCTTCAGTGACAAAAGATGTTTTCTGTTGATAAATGATCTCTCGAGAAATAATGAGATAAATTAACCTGGTATATTAAACAAACTTTGTTATCTCAAGATAATGAGTAATAACTAAACAACTACTAATATTTTCAATGTCACAACATATCATCATGATTTATTTAACTTAAATGTTTCAATAAGGTGCCAGAAAAAACCCTCCAAATAGAGCTTGTTTATTA